TATGTTTACTCTAATGACCTTTATGATAGAATTACGTAATTAAACTGGGTATTATTTTATTGATAAAAGTTATGTGTATAAAAATTACAAATTGTTAATGAATAACATGAAAGGTACCTAATAAAAACAGTTAATATTTATATTATACTATTAGTACTTCAAGCCATTGTGTTGAATATATATTGACATTTTTTATTACAATTTTATAATGAACTAATGTAATATTTATTGAAATTAAAACAGTTTACAATCGGTGAGATTTTAAACTGATTTCATTTGGCAATAATAACATGTCACGTATAATAACAAGTCACGTACAGAAAAAGAATATCGCTTAAAATAAATATTAAATATGTTTTTAAAGCTCACACATAGTTATTCTAGCTTGCTAACTACACACTTGATTATTTTGATGGTGCTGTTAAATAAACAAAAAAATATATAATACAGGAGGTATACACAAAGCTATGGCAAAATCTATATAATAATGGTCCAAATAGACGTCCTTGAGACACCCCAATTCCAAGACCGGTTGCAGCTTTCAATACGTTCGCTCGCTTTCAGCTTGAATAGGGGCTTTTATACCTACTTATTTCGGAGAACTTATATTCTTATGCATTGAGTCGAATATAAATTATATTTAAGTACTACATATAGAGAAAACAAAATAAGAGTAACTATGTATTTATATTTTACTTCAAGATTTTAACATTTTTGCATGGAGGTTTTTGAAGACATAGTTACATGTTCTCGTAGCTATCGTAGTTATAATTATTTTTAAATGCGTAGCTACGACTCATCATTATCATTCGTGTATCACTTATAATTCAAATTATAATTTATTATTCCTAGATACTACGTATCACAGTGATATTATGTCACAAAATTGTGATACTATGGTCTATTTTTATTCCTTATTAGTTTTATGCCCACTACTTATACGCGAGGATTTCAGAAGTAGGAAAACCAATGAAATAGACCACTTGTAGATGGTATGTCAAGATGAAACATACAACATATTATTGGCTCATAACTATGAAAATGGTGTCTAGTGGCGGTAAATGGTATTTGGTGCAGTAGTTTTTGAATGAAGCCGGAACAAACTTATAAACAGATTATCAGACTGATAAAATTTCTAAAAAATTATTGTTTTATTAAGACTATGATCTTATTAAGACCTTATATATCAAATTTTCTTACATATTTCTTATGTATAGATATGTTTTAGTTAAAATTTTATTATATTAATAAAATATACTTGTATATATGTAGGACAGAGTAAAGTCTACTAGGGTATGTCCAATAGCAATTATCAATGTCCATTATGCTACGCAATTCCGCATTCTATTTTATTGGATAAAAAGTACGACAAAGTTTATGTCTCCCGTAAGTGCTACTAATAGTTGTAATAGTTACGTTTGACAGGCGGATTAACAACCGTAGTTAAGCTTTGCAGATGTTTTAAGAGGGACACTGCTGCCCATCCTTCGCCTTCTCTTAGTCGCACCTTACGACATCCACGGAAAAGGAAGGGGTGGTCCATTCTATGCCGGGACCACGTGTTACCTATACTCTTATGATTTTATAAAATAGAACAAAAGTCAAAATTTTTACTAACGTAATACAGTTGCTCTTAAAAAGTTATACATTTATTCTGATAGTATGAATCAAACTAGCAATCCTTGTCTAGAAAACGATTATTATAATTGGAACTATAATAAGGTAAATTATCCATATATCTTTTTAAACGATGTTTAGTTTTATAACAAAATACGATTAAAAGCATTGTAGTTCGTATAACACATTCAGTTTTTATACTTACCTCTTTATTCACTAAAACTTCAAACTTCTCATAAATCTATTTTAGCTATTAAACTGTCTTGTCTCTTTCTTTTACACTAAATTCTCAACTTGAAAGAAAGTGATAAAACAGTGTAATGATTAAAATAGGTTTGTATAAGGTTTTAGTTTTTATGAATAAGGGGATACTAGTTTACTTTGATAAAATGCTAGAATGTACGTAGACATATTCGTAGCACACTCTACGAGATTGCTTCACTCTAACTTTGATTAAGTCTGTGACTGGTTAGGTAAACAATTTTTGTATGATTGATTACCTTACCGTCCAGGGATCTCAAAGTTATAACGCAACCTCTTATTAAATATTGAAAACTAATGCCTACTTCTTTAAGAAATAGCAAATATTAAGTATTCAAAAAACGTATTTTAGTTATGCAGAAAATACTTTTTCGTAGATACTGAGGTCTTGCCATGTACCTATACATTCGATTATTCATAATTATTATTATTATTTATTTCTAGATGTATATGTTGTTATATCCCAATTTGAGAAGCTCTATTCTATTGACACTCTATTTTAGTGAAAATTCTTGTGTCATATTAACCTACTTTAGGGTGACATTACTGTTTTTATCTACACTATTAACATTCATAACATTCATAAAATTATAACGTCGTAGTGATGGCTGGTATCAATCCTATTAATATTACAAACTTATGCAAAGTTTGCAACGATGTATAGATAGATAAACGGATGGATGTTTATTACTCTTTCATGTAAAAATTACGAAATGTATTTGAATGAAATTTGGTATATGAGTAGGTTCTATCCTAACTTAGCATATGGGATAATTTATATACTGATTTACGTGAAGGAAACCGCGGGATACAGCTAATTGATTATAAACTGAATTCTGCTGATTATTTTGTAGAACGTTCGGTGTATTATATAGATGAAGTTAAGTATTTTTTGTTTATAATTATATTTAAATAGTAATATAAAAAGGTTGTAATACAAAACGTTCGAACATCCTTGTTACAGTAGATACTGTTTACATGCACGCAATAACGTATTTCATACACATAATTTGTTAATTAAACTACTTGAATAATTTAGACCAAATAATTACCTATCTAGATCTATTTAATTATCTAGCCTTGATGTTGCATGATCTAATATTCACGGTAATAGATATAACTAGTTGGCTATTACAACATAAATTGCAATGAACATGCAATATAAAATGTACATGATTAAAGTTTTATTTATTTTACACATTATTTTAAAAATTTTGATTTTTTTTTATATTTTATACGCATTATTTAGCCCAGAACATATTCAACAGTGCGACGTACAGGGCTTAAGACAGCATAAGTCTAAACTAATCATAAAATAGCATAGAGACATAATTTTAATTTTTAATGTAACCATCAGAACAAAAATAAATCAAATTCTTACTCTTTATAATATTAGAGAAGCTCTTTATACTTTGATATTCGTTTTATTCTTTTATCCGGGATAGTATTAGGAAGTCGAGGTCATAGCTAGTATAAATGTCCATCAGGTGGGCCATCAGCTTGTTTGCTATTCTAAGTTGCATAAAAAAATGTACTCTTAGCTTTATCAATTACATTATATTTCATTTCAATATTCAAATCTGCGTTTAATAATACATAACTGAACCATTATCTATACATTATATGAACATACGTAGTGACACATTATCAAGCATTATCCAATCTATTCCAGACGTGCTGCGTCCTGGTTTTATTCTTTATCCGGGATAGTATTAGGAAGTCGAGGTCATAGCTAGTATAAATGTCCATCAGGTGGACACATTATCAAGCATTATCCAATCTAGAATGAACTTCTTTAGGGTTCTGCATTTCTGTATGTCGTCAATCCGTTTTACAGATTGGTAGAGTTTTGTTTTTGCATCGTTTGTATAAGTTTTCATATATTATCCAAAGCGTTACCTATTTCTACTAATAAAGAAGAATTAGTGCGTACTTTTTTTTTTAAATTTAGTAAAAGTCATCAAAACGGATTCCTCTATTCTGCAGTTACTATCTTAAGTACGTGTATATCGAATTTTATAGCGATTGGTTGAGTTGGTAAGGCTTTATAGTACCTAACAAACAAACTTACTTTCACTTCTATAATATTAGTAGGGGTATTAGGTTTCAGTTTGAAGGGCAGTTTGTGGCAATACATAAGAGGTACACAGTGATCAGTGTATTCTGTGATATTCATGATGCTGTTCATATGTATGGAATCGAAGGTAAGAAGATTATTATGAAGAATTTTTTTTATACCACTGAGGTGGCAAACAAGCATACGGCTCACCTGATGGCAAGTAGTGAAGAATTTGATAGTCTTGCGTAATAATCTCGTTGACTTCAAGTCGCCAATAACAAGTAGGTACTTGTTTGGTATCCCTAGTTAGGCCTGTACAATAAAGGTAAAGGCATATTTCGTTATGAAAGGCTGTTGTCTTGAAAAGTCCTCAAGAGCTATTAATTCAGCAACTACGATGTACCTAAAGTTAATATACAAATTCAGTACCATCCAAGTTTTTCAGTCCTACACAGTGAAATTGAAATGAACAGTATCCTTCAAAAAGAATATTTCGCCAGTGAAATATTTATTTTAAAGAAACATGGATTGAAAAATAACAAAAAAAATTTGGCCCGCCTAACTCAAATACTCATATTTTCTTGGAAAAATAATTAGTTTAACGGTTAGAATACTCAGAATTTTGATTTTATCCTATATCACCAAAGGAGACTTTATACAAAAGTCGTCTGCTTGGCTACTTATGTTCTATTCGTATTTCTATCGTGAAACACATGTGTCTTTGCATAGCTGTGTTTTGGTTTGAAGGGAGGGATACGGCAATGAAATTACTGGGAGGTATAACATCTTAGTCCTCAGGAATGACAATGCATGTGAGGTGTCATGGGTGACACGGTATATTTTGTTATGTCCATGGTATTGTACATGTCTTTATGCAACATTTACCACTTTTCATCAGGTGGACCCTCAACTCGTTTGTATTTTAAGTTGCATAAAAAATATTTTTTATTTAATACCGAATCACGGTTCAAATCAAACTGATACCGATACCTAAGCCATAGTGTTTTATTACCCATGATTATAGCGATCTTAAATAATTTGATACATTCAAATTCTTGAACAGGTCTCCAAAAAGAAAAAACACAGAAGAAGACTGCGAAAGCGAGGCTCTCAAATCCGACCTTGGAGATTCAGAAAGCAAAGATGGCGGCGCTCTGGAAGCTAAAATGTCGCTTCTCAACGGGATTACGGTCATCGTGGGTTCCATCATTGGCAGTGGCATATTTGTATCACCAACTGGCGTACTGAAGTATACAGGATCAGTGAACGCCAGTTTGCTGGTGTGGATCGCTTCTGGGGTATTCAGTATGGTGAGTAATTTATATTTACGATTAAAAGCAATCATCCTTTTATTAATTAGATATGTACCTATATGTAGTTATTTTCAACAAAAAATAAACTACTTGAAACCGCACAGAATTAGTAATAAGACCATCATGATTGTAAACCCTATTGATTGCAAAAAGACTTATTAAAGTAGGTACAAATTTGGCGCAGATATCGCATAACATACGCACAAAACAGCAGCAAAATTAAGAACCTCTTCATTTTAGAAGTTGGTCAAACATTGTGTCAGATGTTAGAGTCGACATGATGTTATTAGGACCCAACAAAAAATATATTTTTTGTAATATGGCATATTTATTACATACCTAATATAGACAGTAATATTATTATGGTAAGTGATATAAAAGTATCAACATGTTTTATTAAATCAAATCATATCTTAAAAAAATTTAACATATAAATTAAAAAATATTTTTGTGGGTAAGTGTTTTACAAACAAAGCGTGTGAAACAATAATTACGAATATAAATGCTTTGTCGCGATTCGCGTATGTACCTATGTGCCTATAGGCATATTTATTTAAGAGGGATAATTTGCAACGTGAGATTAGTAATTTAAATTCAAAATATAAAAAAAAAACATGATTCCAACAAGAGAACTATAAACATTTTAGTGTATTTATGTCTTATTTGTATATTTAATATTTTTAGTATTTATTACTAAAAACATCTGTTAGGTATTTCTTTTCTGATATAATTATGGCAAATATTTTTATCTTTGTTGTTAACTGAATTGATAACATAAACTTTGATAGGTCGTCAATATTTATTTTCTGTTCCAACGAGGAGGGATTCTTTAGAAATCCTAATGGATTATTTAGCCAGCAGATGATATGCAAATTTGCTATCTATATATTTTTATTTTCTGCCCCACGAATAATAACTTCTTAACAACTTAAGAAAGAAGCTTATCATCCTAGCTGTTTTAAGAATAATGAATATTGCAGTATTTTATATTAAGAATATTATATATTTCCCTAAGGAGATGTTCATTTTAATACCAAACTAATGATCTCTCCTTGGTCATATTTATTCTTCTAAAGATATAATAATTTATCTTTAAAATCTTTGACATCGTCCAGACTACTCAGAATGAAATATTTTTCCTTCCCATGGGTAATTAGAAAAAATATTTTTAATTAGTTGCTTTAGATATATTGGAAACTCGATTCTCTAGATAGATAATTAATTAGTTTCTAGATTTATTCTTCCGTATGTAACAGTATTTAGTAGGTATCTGGTTAATTAATTTACTGGAGCACTGGAGTTAATTAATTTAATGAATTTTGAAAAGTAAATTCTAATATACTTATATATCCGATACTAATTCTTTAGGGGATCGATTGTCAAAATGCTGAAAGTGTCTTTTCAAAGTTTTGTTTCAAAAATGTAAATGAAAAAATTTTAGACTATCATAAAAATGACGGACCACCAATTCAAAACTTTACCTCAAATTTCCAAATACGAGAATACATAGTTCAAGATTCTAAAGGATTTTCTAGACAACTTTTACTTTTTTAACTTTAAACTTCTTAGGAAACTTTTAAAAAATCTTATTTATAAATATTAAAACCAAAGGACTTTAGTAAATATTTTTTAAAATGCACTGTATAATTGGCACTAATTAATAAATACCACGCCTGGCAATCGTGACACATGGTCACGATTGTGACCATGTGTCACAAGTGATAAGTGAACACTGATAGCATATTAGCTAAACATATACATAAACAATTGGCAATAAACAATATCTATGCTTTTACGAGATTCACGTATAATCTGAAAGATTGATATATTTTTAAGCGATATTCAAAACTAGAAAGTGCTCAACTTGTCTGTATATTTTGTGATTATGTTACGGGATTAGATTAGTCGCCAATTTTGAACTGATTTTTATAATTGTTTTTCCAATTAACAGAGTTTACTTTCGTGGTTACCATCACCATATTCGTTTTGTGAAGATTGATACTATAATTTTTCTTAGAGCAAAAAACTGCATGCAGTCAAGCCTAATCCACTTGTACAGATTGTAACAGTTATTTGTAGAAAGAGTGACTATGGAGAGTCGGTGTTATAAATTTAAATATTTTCTATTTGTGTTTTTTTTTACGGCGGATTTCTTTACAGTAATCAGTATATTCATTATCCTTTGTGTTAAATCAGAATATAATTAAACTATATACTAAATTTCATTCAGATCTGATAAGCCGTTTTTACGTGAAATGATAACACCTTTACAAACTTTCACATTTCGTATAAAATATTTATAAATATTAATAACTATTTCTTATTATTATATAGACAGCTACTATTTTATTTTGTGCAGATAGGCGCATATTGCTACGCAGAACTGGGCACCATGATCAGGCGTAGTGGTGCTGACTACGCGTACATAATGGAGACATTTGGTCCGTTTGCAGCATTTATACGACTCTGGATTGAGTGCATGATTGTTAGACCTTGTTCACAGGTACTAAAAGACTTTTTTTTCAGGTACAACCTAAAATAAAATCTCAATATATATATACTAAGCTTATTGAAAATTTCACTAATAATGAATTCGACAGCACTTTGATGTCAAAACTAGAAAGTTTAGTTAGTAATAGTCTAGACTAACTAAGTTGTACATGAAAGTCTCTAACCACTCACCCTCTGTATTACAAAGTAAGCAACAATATTTCTTTTACGTTGAATCAGCAGTAGGGGGCAGGTGGGTTGTGTTCACTCTAGAATTATACGCATCCCAGGATCCAAGTAGAGTTTTCAACTATGTACAAAGATATGAGAGAGTAAATTATACTACGTTTTTATAGGGCCAGACCATAAGCAAATAATCTTAAATATGTCACTGAAAGAGAATGAAATTACTGCGTACTATGACTTGAGAGCTTTATGTAACAGGAGTTAGCAACTTGGGAGTAAGGTTTCTGAAGTAGTAAGTGTTCATTGGCTACTGCTACTTGTGTCTTGAAACCCTCGTTGTATATAAAATATAACTTAAAAATAATTATGGATGTTAGAGATTGAAAAAGCTATAAATGGTGTTTCTTTTATGTATATGGTTACGTATCGACGTCTGTCTACAATAGTATAAGAACTTTTTTGAGCAGAGGTAGTATAAAATACATTGAGACACTCTATCTAATAATAACGCCTGTGCTCCATCTTGCGGACTTTCACCCCACACTGATTTTGCGAGGTCATCGTTCTACCTTGTAGGGGAAAACTCAACATTCAGAAGTCTATCTCATTTCATTTACGGTATAAATCAATTCTGTGAAATTATAGTTCACTTTGATTAAATGATCAAAGTACTTGGAGTTTGATAAAACTTACATGTGTTTGTCTTAATTAAAAGATATGTATGAGTGTGTGTGTGTGTGTGTGTGTGTGATTGTGTATTACACGGTAGGCAGTAATAACAACTCAATCCTCAAAAATGGCAAACTATAAGAATAGCATTCTGCGACCCAATATTCTAAGATTTTTTTAATGTTTTTACTTTATTCAAGTATATCAGCCCCATCGTACTCTGAACTGATTTTTCAAATAAAGTTTTACCTAGTTTCCGTAAACACGGAAAGAGAGGAATTAATGGGCATCAATAATTTACAGAGATGTTAAAAATTTTCTGATTTGGGTTCAGCTAATATAGATTGAATATATTCTAAGATGTATGTCATAACCAATTTTTTTATTTCTAAATAGCCTTTTAAGAAAAATATCTATGAAATGGTAAATAATTTACACTGTTTTCGTTTTATAACAGTATTGATTCAGTAATTACGTAAATCCTATGAAAGTCTTTGAGCGACTTTACTGCCTGGAAATTGAAGGCATTCAACCTACGTTATTTGATGTTACGAGGTCAAAACCCACGCAAATGTCTTGTCAATGTAAATCCTATTTGCGTGGGATATTTGTCGAAGGATTCTAACGTGTATATTGAGAAAAATATGTCCCTAATAAAAGAAACAATGTCTTTTTATTGTAAATTCAATAGATAAGTCTGTATTGGCGCCCAACGTGGGACCGATTACATATTGACATTCAACATGGCACCTAACTTTCGTTTATCTGTTAAATATATTCTCTTTGATATTGGATTGTATTTTTTTAATAATATATGTTTACCATTTACTTATTCCTAATTTACATAACTTTATTTGAGTGACCTTTTTCTACTTTATTTCACAACATTATTGTGTAAATTGAATCTAAGAATTAGCATAATACCCCCATTCAACAGGCGATTGTGGCGTTAACATTCAGCGTGTACGTGTTAAAGCCGATATTTCCAGAATGCGACCCGCCAGAAGACGCCACTAGGTTGCTGGCAGCTTGTTGTATACGTAAGTTTACCGGCCACTATAATAAATATTTTATCTCTGGAGGTTTTATTTGATTATATTTACCTTCATGTAAACATAAATAAAGCCAATACGATCTTAGTTATGTAGAGATAAGCGTACTACCTCAACTACTGAGATGCCAGGTTCGATCTCCGTACAATAATTATACTCTATAAATCTTTACACTATATAACTAATATCACGGCTATTACCATAATAGAGTGTATATTCGTATTTGTTCGTATTGAATTTTCAATACACTAATTAATTATAAGTATTTTTTTAAATATTTTGTTTACGTGTTAATCAGTTATCTAGTATTGAAGGTCTTACATAATTTGGGATCAGATGGCGTTATTATTTTAGGTTCAAAACTAAGAGGTCCTCCCGTAAATGATTTTATTACGTTTTAATTGTCATAAAATCGAACAGATTTTATTAACAAAATTTAATTTCCTCCTATTCCAGTGCTGCTGACGTTTGTGAACTGTTGGTCAGTACGCGCGGCGACCAGAGTCCAAGATTGGTTCACATACGCCAAACTCCTGGCTCTGTTTATCATAATCGCCACTGGTATTTACCAGCTTTGTAAAGGTATGTATATTATATTATTTTTTATTATTATTTCAGCCGGCAACTGTCCACTGCTGGATGTAAGCCATCCCCATCAGGGGAGTTTTGCCAGTAGTTGTTATGCTTGACAGGCGGGTTGGCAACCGCAGTTAGGCTTTAAAAGATGTTTTAAGACGAACGCTGCTGTCCATATCTATATGACTATATACCATATATTATACCTAATTGTCTCACAAATGTCGTATATTATACCGAACGTATGTAGCTATAGTTTGTTTCAATAGCATTTAATGAAAATGTAAACAAAATGGTGATTGACCTAAGCATAAGACAATCTTCTGATCTTCAATAATAGTACAAATAAAAAAAATCGATCTAATAGAATAATTTGATTTGATACTTATTTCTTGAACTTGATCACCTTTTCATTGATATGATAGATCACTTCGGTATCGGTAAATATATCCAGGGGGAATTGAAATTAGCATCCTCTTAAAAAAGTATTCTTCTAATGAAATAAATTTATTTTTCCAAAGAAAGATTGATAAAACGATATCAATAAATTTTGGTTATATATAAATATTGCTTTATCAAAAATAATAATCGAATCTTATACTTTTTAACATTAAAAAAAACAATGTGATTATCAATGCATTGAGGATGAGTTGTGTTGACTTGTCATTACAGATAGTTCACCTAAATGACTTCCTGGTAATAGTAGTAGTCACAGCATTAATTTAATATGATAACTTTGTTATAAAATTGGATAACCCAGTGACATTCGTATCACTAACAACAGTAAGAAATCGGAAGTAGCGGTTTCCATATAAAATTACCTAGGGATTTTTAATTCTACGATTTTTCAACTGAAAGCTGGGTTTTTTCGACTTTTTTTTCTTTCAAACCATCTCTGTATTATAGCGAACGAAACAAGAATATATATATATGAATAAGTGATTCCAACATTAATAAAACAACTTCAACGTTCATAAACTTCATTTGAACAAGTGTACTACAAGGCTGCGTGGTTTAAATTTCATAAACTAGGTAACAAAATAAATATATTAGTTTCTTATTAATTACATATAAATATATAATAATGTAACGACAAATAGTTGCATATATTACTTATCTGGTGGAAGAGTTTTCTGTGTAGTTATTATATTTTGTATTTTGGTCTTTAATGGAGGACAATGATTTGGACAATAGTTACCTCAACCGCGCTAACGATATATGTCAGCGAGGTATCAATGAAGGATGAAAAGCAAGTCAGTTAGCCCATCGTGATGAATAGGCCTAAAATTCAGTACGATGGTTTCCAAAGGAGATCACGTGGAGGTCCCGTAATCAGATGATTGGGTATATTGCTAGAAATAGGGTTAGTCTCTATTATTAACAATCCCTCCCCACATTCTGTGTTTGTCTGAAGAGTAAAAGGTTGTACTTTGTAAAATTTTGTTTCCTTAATATATATTGATAATCTTATTTTAATTTTTGAGATATCATACACTTAAATCATCATGCAAGTAAATATTCGTAAAACACGTTTACAACATTACAGCAAACAAAACTATTGCTTCTGTCTACCCCGTAATATATGTAGGTAAAGTTTTATTTATAAGAATGTGAATAAAGTGTTAGTCACAAGATACGAGTGTAGTACCTAAATAGCTTAATATTGCCTACGAAGGCTGTCTCTAGCAATAAAGAAAACAGCCCAGTACGCAGTACGGAGATAAGTCAATTTGTGCTGCAAATTGGATCTTCTGTCTGGGTGTCAATATCATTCAGAATAAGCAATTACTCAGAATAATCGAGAAAGTTTAAGTGGAAAGTAAAATTATTGGTGTACGAAGTTCATGGCATATTTTGAGAGAGAATTCAATATAATGTATGGACTAGACAATACAATTCGATTTTTATTTGCTGAGTTAAGAGTCAGTCTCTTCAGGCTGGGACAATAGAAGTGTTATTAAAAGTACAATGTCAGTACAATAATATTTAAAATATTTTTAACATGCAATAGTTACTGGCTTTTACACGCGACTTCGTCCGCGTGACCGGGATATGTCTATTGACTAGGACAAAAGTAATATATGACTTTCTCCATAAGCATATAGTACGTGTAACTAGTCTGGTCATAAATACTGTTACATAAAAACTTTTCTTATTTTCAACTTTTTAATTATTTTTAATTTGTAAAACTTTTATTATTTTAAAAACTTCTTTCGATTTGCACCATTTCATATATTTTTCCGTGTTCATTATCAAATCACAATAAAATTAAAGGTGGCTATTTCGAATAGAATATTTTTTTTTTATTTTTTGCTGAGACTTTAATAAATATGTAGGTATAATTTATTGTAATATTACATTACTTCATAAAAAAATGCATTTTCATTTGTAACAGAAATTATGGCTGGACTAGGTAAGTATATCAAATTTCATAGTGATTAAGTTATGTAAGGCGAAAAAGTGCAACAATCTCTCTTTCGCATTTATAATAGCAGTAAGAATGCTCGTATAAACATAACATAATGAAAAAATTATTTTTATAGTAAATAATACCATTCAGTGAATTTTTGTTAACATGATTATTTATTAGAGACCAAAAAATTAATCAACTGCTGAACGAGTTCCGATGAAACAAATATTTATTAAGTTAAACTTAATATATAGTTACTTGATTATAAAATTTCCTTTAAATCCATTTAGTTCACTTCTTTTTAAGGATGTTATACATAGGCAGATGACTTTTAAAACTAACCATCACTAATTTTCACTTCAGACTCGTTTCAAAGAGGCTACTACAGGAACAGAGAGTAATGCACCAGTGCGTGGGAAGCTGTATAAATTTACAGTCTTTTTATTGCGTTTTCACGATTAAATTACAAGGATAGGCCAAGGATAAATTGAGTAGGTAGCTACTGTTTGTGACGTCATTCTCTCTAATGGACGCCGGTGTGGATTATCATAAAGTGTCATAATCATTACATCTTTTATAAATATGTATCCACTTGTACGTTAACCAGTGGTATTTAAACAAAAAGATGTGAATTGGGACACCTGACTAAACATCATAATATTCAACTATTATATATGATAAATATTATACATGATAGTACCTATAACAATTTAAAATATTAATCCAAAAAAGCAAAGCAAATTATAAACATAATAAAATATGAATTCGACAAGGAAGTCGAACCTGTCGATTGCTAAAAGAATCGTTGAGTTTGGCGCGGAATTTATGAATTTATCGCATTACATACCTACTTAAAAAATATTTATTGGAGTTACTTATTACTAGTTTTTATAGATTTCATTGAAAACAGATTTTTTCAGAGAATTTGGTGATAGAGTAAATTAATGATTCGTGTAGAACTGTGGGTGGGTGGCGTCCTCTGAAATCAAGAGTTTCAAGACCGCCATCATTTTAAATAAAAATCTCTGACAGATGTGCCTTGTGCATAGGTTGGTAGTCACGTGCAGTATGAAATAATTGATGGTAATGAATGTAAAGGATGGTACGATACCAACAGTAGTTCCAAAATGTCAATCCCATCATTATCACTTTGGCAACGATACATACAATAGATTTACGAGTCGGAATCTTGTTAGGGTTTCATATAACATTCGCCATATCGTAACGCATTGTATATTAATTGACGGCACCACAATAAGCTATTGAAAGAGTTCCTAATGGAAGGAAGGCGTCGGCGGACAGACGGACAAAACGCATGTTATTAGATGATTGCACCAATCTAGCCGGCTCCAGTTACGGTGTTTGCCGTGTGAAAGGTTAGGCAACACATGTAATTTGATGTGTATGTATTATGTAGTTTTATGAATGAATCGATATAGGATTATTTTACAATTAAGTAAAAATCGGAATCTCGTACCTGTACATATGGGGCACCAGTGAGAAATGATATATGAGGATTAGCCCATCGTGATGAATTCAACAATAATTAACCACGATGGTTTCTAAGGCATTATAACATATATTATTGTACTAGCATATATATGTAGGTATATTTAATAGCGGCTGATTGCAAAATAAATAGATGTGTTTCTACGTGCTCTTACACATGGTCGAATACAGAGATTCTGTTTGTTTCTAACGTAATAACAAGGAAATAAAGTTATCATTAATTCAATGGGGCTGTTAGATACCATTCTTAACAATCTATTTCCCCCATTATGATTATTAGCTTTTCTTTATTCCAGTACTATTGCTATATTGACTAGCCGCAATTTATGTATTATGTGTTATATATTCTTTATTGCACTTGTAAATTACATTGTTAATGCATTTATAAATATTGTGAGCAAGGATGGACTTATCTCTGACAGAGATCTCTTCTAGTCAACCCAATGCAGTTAGAAAACATGTTGTTAACGGGCAGCTGAAGTGCTACAACTATTAATATTTAGTGTACATAAATAAATATACAGTTAAATAAAATATTAAGATACATAATAAAATATTACATAAATACATATACTATAAATAAATATAATATCTACCTACTTATACAATGGATGTTAAAATAAATGAATATACTATCTTTTGTTGTTGTTATTTCTTTTTCAGGCAAAGTGGAGCATTTCTCTTTTGAGGGTACAACCAGTGATGTCACGTCTATTGCTCTCTCCTTCTACTCCGGACTGTTTGCTTACAACGGATGGTAAGTGAACATTAATATTTTAATTCTGCTATGGTGGTTCGGGTGTGTGGAAAGAATGCCAGAACGGTTGACAAAACCAGCCAGCCCCGAAAGGTATTTGATGTGAAGATAGATAGATTCTACTTTTAATATATAGAAATGCTTATGTATATTGTCGAGAGTACGATGACACTCAAGATTTCGTGGTCGTTGGTTTGAATGTTTTCGACACCATGTTTAAAATCAAACGTGACAGAATGTCCGGCGATGGTATATATAATAAAATCAAGAAACGTTGGTGTTCCATCGGCAATATTGAATTTATTTTTATATTTTTATTTATTTAGGAACTTTTGAATGTTGAATTTGATTGTTTCAAGTGTATGTCGACAAAACCTCCATTTACACATTATTTCTCTTTTCTACGCTAGCGCTCTTCGCAAGAATATAAGATATGTAAAAGTTAGAGTTTCTCACATTTGTTCTCATTTTCAACCAACTTCAAAAAGAAGGAGGTTCTCAATTCAACTATATTTTTTTATGTTTGTGACCTCAAAATTCTGTCAGTTCGGAACTAATTTAGAATTTTATTTTTATCTGAAAGGCTATACTTAAAGATAAGTCCCGTAGAAAATTTATAAAAATAGTTCAGTATTTTAGTTTTTAGATTAAAATAAGTAGTTTCATAATTGAAGTCGATTTTAGTGGCAAAATGCTGAAATATCAATGGCTTTATATTTATATTTACAATGGCTATTATTGACTTTAGAATTTTAGGAAAAATAATGTCCCTTTTTCCAAGAGTTTGCAGTTATTATGCACTTATGTTTATATACGATTATTTGAACAGGAACTATTTGAACTTCATAATTGAAGAATTGAAGGACCCCGTGCGCAATTTGCCGCGCGCCATCGCCATCTCCTGCACGCTCGTAACCATCGTCTACACATTCACCAACGTTGCGTTCTACACCACTTTGTCGCCCACAGAGGTAATTTTACCACATATCTTACAAATTTACTAATTTACTTTTAAAGCATATCTCATGTAGACATGACGAGAGCCAAGTGCTAATAGGCTATTATTCTTGCACACCTCTTGACTTTTGCTTCATCTCTTTACACTATGCATTCTGTGATGTCTTGATACCGTTTATGTCTATAGATAAGGGTGATCACTATCTGTTATGTAAAAGAAAGAAACTGTTGACACTAGACAACGCTATCTTCGCATCAGTAGTAACAGCGTAGAAGAAATATTGCTATGCAACCATTTTATTTATGGTAGGTTGTACACCAGTTTCAGTCTATACGGTAGAAACGTAGAGTGATACATAGTATAATCATTATTATTATCATATCAGCCGTTGACTGTCCTCTGCTTAACATACGAGTAGGTCCCCTATTATCAAAAAGGTTTTGCCAATAGTTACTATGCTTGGCGGACGGCTTGATATCCGCAGTTAGGTTTTGGTGATGTTTTAAGAGGGATGATGTTTTTTTTTTGCTGTCCATCCCTTGGCCATTGAGTTCCCTTAGTTGCCTCTTACAACACCCACGAGAAAGGAACGGGATACCAGATGCACTATGCCGGAACCACATGGCGTATACGTGGTATAATATTATCAGGTTAAATAAATATCAACACTTGATGTCATGTCGTCTGGGAGGTATGGCATGGAGATATGGCATGAGATAGAGCTGGCTGGAGGAAAGTGCATGAATTAGTTGCACTGACACAGAAAAACTCTTAAATAAAAATAAATAAATAAATATCGTCACACCAGGTGCTGGGCTCAGCAGCGGTGGCTGTAACGTTTGCTGAACGGTTATTCGGCTGGTTTGCACTCTCCATACCCCTGTTTGTTGCTGCTTCCACCTTCGGCGCTGTCAACGGAGTTCTTCTCACTTCATCACGGTAACTACCACACTAACTAAATACGGTATTATAAATATAAATTGAGAAAATTAGTATTTGAAAAAGTTAAACAAGACCCTTGTATCTTAATACAAGACCTTTAAATCTAGTCTTGTTAGGGTAACATAACACTACGTCTAGGGCCAAAAACTATATTACCCAGTTAATGACCCTTTCCGAATTGGCTAGTACTACTAGCCAATTCGGAAAGGGTCATTAATTAATATCACTCAACAGTGAATCGATGCCGGAACCTTTATTACACAAAGCAACGAGCCCATCACTGTGTCATGGAGGTCGTCTTAACAGCTTAGTACCCCGAATTAAACTCTGCCCGTCCGTAAACGAAGCCTATGACGACTACGCGTATTATTTTCCAGGGAGCTGAACACTTGAAAACTAGATACCTATTTACTCTCAGACATGTGTTTGTGTATAGCTAAAAATTCTGCTTCCTGGGGTTGCTGCTCCAGGATAGCGAAGGGTTAGACAGATCTGAGGTGGTGTCGCCATGTGTTTGTGTCTAGCTAAAAGTTCCGCTCGCATCCTGGGGTGCTTATCCCAGGTTGGAGGAGGGCCAGACAGGTCTGAGGTGGTCTCGCCTCCCTCTTCCTGACCGCACGTATATACGCTTGTGTGTATGATGTGGCAGGCTGTTCTACGCGGGCGCGGCGCAGGGCCAGATGCCGGAGATGCTGACTATGGTGTCGTCCCGCGCCACGCCCGCGCCCGCCGTGCTCGCGGTCGCTCTCCTCTCGCTGCTCTACCTCACCGTTTCCGACATCTACGCGCTCATCAACTACGTCGGTTTCGCTACCTGGGTATGTATGCACTTTACACTCGGATAGCCTATATATGGTGAAGTCGTTGGTATTCCTTTATATTACTGATCTATTTTTGAAAATGAACATGAGAAAAATGGCAAGCTTTTGTGTATCTTTTACGTTAATTTTTAAGTTATACTAACTTGACAGCTCGAGGTTCAAAATTTGTTAATAGAGGAATGATTTCCATATTAGTGTTACTTTTGTACAAACGATGTTGAGTGCTTGTGATGTTCGAAGTGATAGTATACACGTGACGTCTACGGTCCATATGATCATGTATGAAATGGTTATAAAAGTCTATTAGTAAATACAATTTTATTGTCTTTCAAGCGTGAAAAAGCATAGAAAATCAGCATAACACAACCAACCGTTGTGAGAAAATGTTTCTTTTTTTTTTCGATTTATCGAATTCTTAGTCCAGGTCCTGAACAAACAGGGACATATGATATGATATATGTGATCATATATCGAAGTATGATTAAAAGAACATATATTCTTTGCAAAATTTAATTATATATACATTTCCCTCGTAAAAAACCCTCTTTGAAATATACGTACCGTTGTAATCTTATAACAGCTTTGACAAACGACATTATTATATTCAAATGATGTTTTATTTGTTTACAGCTGAGTATAGGTGCGGCGGTGGTGTGCCTACCAGTATTAAGGTATACACAGCCCAATATCGAGCGACCCATCAAAGTCAACCTGATTTTCCCTGGTAAGGCACAACTTCATATTTTAGATTTTTTAACAGCAATGATTGTACCTTCCTTACAAACTCGTTATTTATGACAATTTTATACTCTATGGTTCGTTTTTTTTTTCACATATTTAAATGTTAGGAACGGCAACACATGATAAGGGTCTCAGCGTACTTTATAACTTTTATGGTATATTGTTCATGTCTATAGGCAACGGTTACCATTTTCCATGAAATGATGGCGCAGCTCTTTTTTTCTTTTTAATGGGTGTTAATGGAATGGTAACTCCGCCTGCGCTATCGGTATACACTGGTGAGGTGCCAGTGAGGCATAATAGATGATGATAAAGCAAGTCAGTTGGCCTATCAGGTTGTTATATGGTTTCAGGGGGAACCGCGTGGAGGTCGACCCGGTAGGGTATATTGCTAGCAATGGGATTACTAATTTCCATTACTAACAATCCCTTCTCCCCTTAATAGCCCATTTTGTGTCATTTTTTTTTTATATCATTGCGGTGGCAAACATGCATACGGTCCACCTGATAGTAAGCGGTTACCGTAGCCTATAAACGCCTGCAATACCAGGGGTTATACGTGCGCGTTGTCGCCCTGAAGAAACCTCTTTACCCCGCTTTTGAAGAACCCCATGCTGTAGTCTCTTGGGAAAACCATGTATCTAAGTTACATAAAAATACTTCCAGCGGTGTACATTGTGTGCACGATCCTGGTAGTGGCAGTGCCGGCGGTGGCGTCTCCCGCCGAGACCGGCATCGGCTGCCTCATGATCCTCACAGCCGTCCCTGTCTACCTACTGCTGCTGGAGCCGCGCACCAGGATTCGAGGCCTCAGCTCCATTACCAGTTCGTATTTAGTTTACCTTCAACTAACATTATGAAGGGTCGCTATCTGCTTCTTTAGATACAAATATTTAGGACATACAAATGCAAAATGACTGGTCAAGTGTTACCCCCACTACAAGGGTACTCGATACATGCGATGTTTTAGTTCTTTACGAGAAAATGTTTACTATCCCATCGGTTGCACTGTAATTTTGTCAAAATTTTATATGATAATGAAAGAATCCTTGTTACTCATGTAATAAAATAAAGAGTACTTAATATTTAATTTATCTTTAAATAGCTATTTATCAATATTACTTGCAGCTTTGTTCGCGTTTATATTAATTTTATTCAACAATTCTGGTTATTGGTATAGGTAGGTAGATAAAATAATTATATTAAATACTTCTTAAGGTGGTGGCCCTTTAAGAAGTAGTTTGAAAAAAGAAATAAATATACTTTAATTATGAATTATTAATAAGCAATAATTCTGCAAAGTTTAAAACATATCGGACAACACAATAAAAAGTTTCATACAAAAATTACCCTTCTCTTACCCCATTCCTTATACATTTTTCGCAAGAAAAAGTAGCCTATAACCGTCTACAGGGTAACATCTATTTTTATACCAAAATTCATCATAATCGATTTAGCGGTTTAGGCGTAAAAGCGTTAATAACTGTACAAATGGTTTAAATAAATTCATTTTCGCATTTATAATATTAATCATTTATTTGTTAAAAAAAATTATACTAACTTGTATATTATTTCATATATTTATTATATAATTTACCAGAGGGAGACTTTGTACAAAAGTCGATTGTTTGGGTACCTCTGTCCCATTCGTGTTTCTACCGTGAAGAAGTGGTATTTGCATGGCTGTGTTTTGGTTTGAAGGTTGGGATATGGCGTGAATTTACAGGGTACAGAAAAATAACATCTGAGTCCTCAGGAATGGCAACGCATTGGGGGTATTATGGGCGAAACAGTATACTCTGTTATGTCCATGCTACTGGTCATGTCTATAGGCGACGGTTACCATTTTCCATCAGGTGGGCCGTCAGCTTGTTTGCCATTCTAAGTTGTATAAAAAAAAATATTTGATTATATTTTAATAAATATAAATTCTGTATTCCATTTTCTTTAAACTATACCTATATATTACGTGAATAACATTAAAAACCCTTTGTCAATTTGCAGCTGTTGCCACACATTTAGTGCAGAAGTTAACGCTAGCTGTCCGGCCGAAAATAAAGGTAAGTGTAAATTTTGTTAAGGTAATCGTCCACTCAAACAATGCTTTTCAATTCCCAATATAGGACACCTTGTCTTAAACTAATTCAAACAACGGTACTTAGGAATAGAATCCCTGTGCGGTTACTCTTCAAGTAAAATTCAATAGATCGATATTGGAATTGAAACGTTTCATATTCTCGAATTGCAATATTCGCGACATTATGGTTCCGTAATGTTCTGAAAGATGCATATTAGTGCAACTTGCCAAAGTAAATTATTGCAACCCAATCTGAGTTTCTTAATTTGTAATTATTATTTCATGAGTGTAGTACAAAATTGTTATTGGCATGAGATTGGATTGATATCGGTATTAGATTCAAGAGTAGGGCTAAATTACAATCGCAAGTCAAATAAAATATGGTTTAAAAATTTTACATATTTCTTTTAATGGCAATACTAAATGGTAGTTTTTATATTAATCCGCTTGTAACATTTATCTCTGATTTTCGTTTTCACACTGTATTGATTACGCGTGCATATCACAAATTATTTAATAAAACGGTTATTTGGAAATATAAATTCAACATACCTACTTTTAAGTTTCCCACACTAACATAAAGGCTAGACGTATCTTACTAGTTTTATTGGTAAAGTAATGATTTCCATTCCAACCTTTATAATGTTATTATATTTTTATTTATTAATTAACGCCATTTTATTTACAGTAATCGTCTCTCGATGATTGACGGAATCGGCAAACATATCCGACCATTCGGTGTACATTCCATAATATGGACTGCTGTATTGTATATTTGGTGTAACTCCTCGTATATTAAAATAATTATATACTCTTTGGAGATGACTTACGTAATAATATTCAGCGAATTTAAGGGCAACTTTTATATTACTATTTCCACTAGATGGCGGTATAACACTGAAATCTCAAAATAAGGACTAAGAGGCCATCATTGTAAGTACCAGCTTAAGTAAGTAATATACTTACATAGTACATAGTTTTCATATGGCCACTCAAACTGGACATAAGGATTTGTTATTAATAGTACCCTTTAGGGTACTTAAGATTATATTCCTGGCCCTTAAACACTACTATATGCTAATAATGTATTTTCGTATAGTCGAAAGTTTTGCTAGCTTCATGGGGTATGCACCAAACAACTCTGGGATGGGCATACCCTGCTTGGCTTTCTCTTAAATACGCCAATGATAGTATGTACAATATAGCAATTCTAGCTATGCTATAAGCAAATTTTGAAACAATGACAATTATATAAAATAATAAATAAAAAAAAATTACAAGGATGGCCTCTTAGAGCACATTACTTTGTTTGCTTTTATGTTTGTAAGACTACAATACTAGTTTCTATTTATTTCTTTAGGACGCTTTTGAATTTATGAGGCAATTTTACTAAATAGATAGTTAGATATGTTTTTTTTTTATTATTTAGGTTACATAATGTCTCACTGGGTGGACTGTTTTTGTATCAATTTCGAAGTACTAATTTTAAATTGTTGTTCACGGTTTATCCAGGTTCATAAATGACTGAGTCACGTAGATTGTGAACTACCTAGCTACCTACCGAATATGAAATTAAAATAAATTGTTATTCAAATATTATATTTAATGTGTAATTAGGATCAACGAATGTGAGGAATGCTTTTAATAAAACCATTTATAATATAAAAATTTGGATTGGTATTTATTGTGGTATAGATTGGAGTAGATTTTTTATTTAGAAAATATATGAACATAAATAATGCATTTGAGATGTGATGTTTTAAAATTATGTAAGATGTGTAGAGTGATGTTATAGCCACTGTCCCAGACATATTTTAAATTTAATAAGTACCTTAAAAGTTTTAGATTTTTTTTTAAATTATGTTAACTTTTATATTAAAAGTAGACATTTATGCTATGAATTTAGTCATAATTGTGAACCTATGTATAACATAACTCGAGTTGTTTTGAAAATAATTACGTCTATTGTGTATTTATAGACTGCTCAAATAACACAATGGGCTTATATATATATATATATATATTGGTACATATTGAATTAATGGATGTTGGATATAATAATATTTGTATTATAATATCTATATATCTGTACCGAGATATATATCGCAGAGAATAAGGACTTTTGAGTAACAAAACATGATAAACAAATTGTAATTCAGAGTCCTTTGTCTGATGCTTAGATTATAAAATATAGTATGGTATATTAAGTCTATGGTCTGATGTAAGTATGTAACTTGCAATGAAAGCCAATACATTTATTGTTGTTGTTGACATAGCTTGTTGTTGACATCAAACTATCTAGGAATAGAATTACATAAAATTACAATAAAATATTATCTGACAAAGACTATATACGAGGTCTGTCCGGAAAGTTCGTATAAAAGTGTTCTGGAATGCGAGAAAGAGGAGTGGGGAGGCCAGGTAAGCGCAGGACCCCTTCCTTATGTCCCTAACAATGCTTCAGTTGTGGTCTGACCGCCGTGCGGTGCGAACTGGCTTGTCACGCCATCTGTGAAGTTACCTCTTAACGAAACCCCGTCGGCATGGAGCCCGCTTCCGTTGAAGAGCAGCGCGTCGTAATCAAGTTTCTCTCGAAACTCGGCAAGAATGGCCGTGAAATTTTTGCCGATCTCAGAACAGTTTATGGGGATGATGCTGTGAAGGAACCAACCGTCCACAAGTGGCTAAAAAGATTCAGAGAGGGCCGAGAAAGAGTTCGATGTTCGGGGGATTGTCCATCAAGAATTCGTCCCTCCAGGCCAGACAGTTGATGGAAAATTCTACGTCGATGTGCTCAGACGCCTCAAAGCTCGTGTGGCACGAGTTCGTCCAGAATTGGCGCGAGAGGGGCGTTGGATTCTTCACCACGACAATGCCCCTGCCCACACCTCTCTTGTTGTCCGTGAGTTTTTGAGTAAAAATTCCATTACGGTGACCGAACACCCCCTATTCGCCGGATTTGGCCCCGTGTGACTTCTTCTTGTTCCCAAAAACCAAATTGGTACTTCGGGGGCGGCATTTGGGGGACATAAATGAGATAAAAAAAGCTACGACGGGGCAGCTGAGAAACCTACAACCAGAGGACTTTCAAGGAGCCTTCTCACAGTGGAAACGGCGTTGGCACAAGTGCATTACGAGGTTTGTCCGGAAAGTACGTATAAAAGTTTTTTAAAAATTTTATTTTACAATTATTCAGGTAAATCAATTTTATCCCCTTCAAAGTACTCCCCCTGTGACATAATGCACTTGTGCCAACGCCGTTTCCACTGTGAGAAGGCTCCTTGAAAGTCCTCTGGTTGTAGGTTTCTCAGCTGCCCCGTCGTAGCTTTTTTTATCTGATTTATGTCCCCCAAATGCCGCCCCCGAAGTACCAATTTGGTTTTTGGGAACAAGAAGAAGTCACACGGGGCCAAATCCGGCGAATAGGGGGTGTTCGGTCACCGTAATGGAATTTTTACTCAAAAACTCACGGACAACAAGAGAGGTGTGGGCAGGGGCATTGTCGTGGTGAAGAATCCAACGCCCCTCTCGCGCCAATTCTGGACGAACTCGTGCCACACGAGCTTTGAGGCGTCTGAGCACATCGACGTAGAATTTTCCATCAACTGTCTGGCCTGGAGGGACGAATTCTTGATGGACAATCCCCCGAACATCGAAAAAAACAATCAACATTGTCTCGGCCCTCTCTGAATCTTTTTAGCCACTTGTGGACGGTTGGTTCCTTCACAGCATCATCCCCATAAACTGTTCTGAGATCGGCAAAAATTTCACGGCCATTCTTGCCGAGTTTCGAGAGAAACTTGATTACGACGCGCTGCTCTTCAACGGAAGCGGGCTCCATGCCGACGGGGTTTCGTTAAGAGGTAACTTCACAGATGGCGTGACAAGCCAGTTCGCACCGCACGGCGGTCAGACCAGAACTGAAGCATTGTTAGGGACATAAGGAAGGGGTCCTGCGCTTACCTGGCCTCCCCACTCCTCTTTCTCGCATTCCAGAACACTTTTATACGAACTTTCCGGACAGACCTCGTATGTCACAGGGGGAGTACTTTGAAGGGGATAAAATTGATTTACCTGAATAATTGTAAAATAAAATTTTTAAAAAACTTTTATACGTACTTTCCGGACAAACCTCGTAAGTAATAAATAAATTAGGTCTACCTATGATTTATTGTTCAAATTTTTTTTAAATCCTTGTTATAATGACGTAACTGAAATTGACATAGCATTGACTATTACAAGTCTTATAAAGTTTAATGGTACTGTGTTCATATAGATATACTAAGGTTATGAAGGGGTTTTGTCCGTTTGTATGTAAGAGTAATCGCAGGAATGACTGAACCGACTCTGAAAATAATTTTACTAGTAGAATACAACAGTAACCCTGAGTACCTAACACATATTAGTTGCCAAATTCGCTTATAGAAAAAACTATTCTCTTCTGCCTATTGTGTTATGAGGATAATTAGTACTCTTTCATATTTTTGTAATCCTGGTACGTTTTGTATTTACTACGTGGTTCTAAGACAACCTATAAGCTCCGTCACGACCTAATATGGTCCACTTTCTTTTACTTTATCAATTGATTTCAGAAACTTAGTTGTTATGTAGATAATAAATGTCTACATATACCTTTGTATAAAGGGAACTTTATGAACTTGCTATGCTTGTCGTTTTCGACAATGTTTCGACAAATTTAAGTTTCAATCGGTGATAACGTCGTAGGTAGGTGTTATGCCGAGCAAATCTGCGATATACAAATTTATTTTTTTCATGTAATTGCATACACATTGTGTTCCTATTATATCGTACCGATAAAACCGTGTTGTGACATGTTTTATGATACCTGACTTATAAAACGTTTATTCCACTCGTAAAGTAGCATTTTCTGGTAATTAACAATTCTCTCAGCTTTCCGAATTTCCTCAACCCTTGTCAATAAGTGAAAACGACTCTTGTCTGCGGGATTACGAAGGTTAAAGATGCCACTCATAATTTTCTCACTTTTACTAGATCTTTGCTAATCAGAATGGGCTTATGTCAGCTTAGATAGAATTCACCAAATAGTTCTTTACTCAAAAGACCCCGAACCTACCCAAAGTTTACCTACTTAGTTTATTAAAAGTAGGTGTAACATTTAAATATAAGTAAAAAACTTTTCATTGTCGACTTAGAAATAAAAAAGAGTTTTTCTAAGCATATAACGAAAGAAAATATGAAAGATCATTAAATTACCTAAGTAAAAAAAAAGTAAATGAAATAGTAATTCTGAAACCTAAAAAGTAAGCCCTTTTGGGACCATATTTAAAGTTGCCCATATTAAAATCAGTTTATCGGTTACATATCCGCATAGCATATGAGGCACTAGGTAATTAAAAAAAAAATGAAAGGTACTTTAAATACTCCAATTGAAGTGGACAATACATTATAGGTACTTCCTTCTTATATATTTATACATTATGTAGACTTCTGTATTCCTGAATTTCGAATATTATTAATTACTTATGTAAAACTATACTTATGTGATTATATATATTCGTTTTATATTTAATGAATGAGCAACATGAATTGGCTATATAGCATCTAATGTGATGAAATAAAATATATATATATATATATATATATATATATATATATATACGAATTTGTACTCACGTGTAGGTACTATAACGAAATCATAAGGGTCAAAATATGGGTTCGTTAATTTGTTTCATGGAAATTAATTAGAAGGTTTAAAATAGATAAAGAATCCATTTCTTTATCTATTTTGCCAATGCAACAATATTTATAATATTTAATGCAACAATATTTATAATTGATGTTTGTTTGTCACATCGTTATAATAAAACTGAAATTTTCTATTGAATAAATAGGGTTCAACGTTATAAATTATTAAACTTGTAAATTTTTTATTGAAGTTAGTCGAACTATGCAAAAATGAGATGATTTGGTAAAAAATAGATATTATTATATCTATGAGACGAACCTTACTTTTTAAATGTACTACATATTTTGTATAAGTTTTTTGGTTAATCTAGTACAAATTGTATGCGCCAAAAAAAGCAAATGAGTGATTGTGGTAATGGATTTATTTTTAAATTTTGCACCAAACTCTGTTTGTGTATAATTTTAATTTGTTTTTAATATTATTTCAAGGTAGTAGCTAGTTATTTAGACTTAATATATGTATAGATATAAGCATTTCATTTATTCAGTATCCAGATGTAAAGCGTCTGAATAAGTTGTTAATGCCATTCAAAGGATGTCACATTGTTATTAGGGTGTTACAGTATAATTCTTAGAAATGGCACGCTGTGACAAGTCATAGGTTGCAATAGGTGGTTATACTGTAATATCGTTACTGTTGTTATTATGTTTTACTTTCTAACAGACGAGCATCAGATGCTTAATTCTTATCTGGTATAAAATTACCAAGTGTTAACTTTATACATAAAGTTAACAAGTGAGTAAAGATATCATATTAAAACCATCTGCGATTTTCAAAATGGCGACTTACCTACATGTCTTTAATAACTCTAAGCCATTAATAGAAATCTGGGTAAAAACAATAATTACGTGAGTTATGTTTTTTACTTTTTAGGATTCTGAATGAAAATGATACAAAGGTACTCTTATTTATTATTTTATGGCTGTGTTATTAAATTTTTACCTTTATAATTGAGTTTTAAGTCTGTCTACAATACTATGTTTGTATTCTCTAATTTAGTGAGCATAAAAATGTTTTTTTGTGTATTTTATTAATTTTGTACATACGTAATACCAACATCATACATTAACATTCCAAAATTATAACTGCCAATAAAATACTTAGGCATCATGCACGAATCTAGCATAGGTACTATCTATTAGAATAGTATTTTGTAGAATATATTGTACTAAAGATACTTATTTTATATACAATTATGTATACAATTTTCGAACTCTATATAAGTTTGAAATGTTCTTCTGTATAATTTTTTGTTAACATAAAATTGTTATTTTTTTTATTTGTATTTTATTAATTTTTAGGAACAAATGCACATTCAGCCATTAAAATATAAACAATAATTTGCATAAACTGTATTATTTTATATACAATAATATAAAAAATATAGATATAATGTGCATTTATCTTGCTATTTTACTATAAGTAGTTAAGTCATGTAATAATTTTAAATTTGTAGGTAATATGTATTTCTTAAGAAGGTTGGAATAATGGAATTAGACGGAATGAATATGAATTTTTCTACGCCTAGGTAATTTCCTGGAGTTATTACCATATTAGAAAAATTCTATGTACCTATGGTGTTTTCATATCTTAATTATTATTGAAAATATTGTAATAGATTATATTAATTGATGTGCTACAAGTAATAATAATATTACTGTATCGATGTTTCTGTTATATACGCTCTTTGCTATGTCTATGGACACAAAATGACAATAATAAATTATTGGAGGAATGTTGGTTTGTTTATTTTGCTTTTAATGCAGATACAAGTACATACCTATATAAATTCGAGAGTCGAAACTGTATATTGATTTTCAAAACATCATTTTTTATTAAGTGATCTGTTCCAAGGTGAGGTCCTGCTTAGGGTTAAAGAAAAGATACAAATTATAAGAACTATTGAGGTCAGAAGGAAAAAAATATTAAGACACTTGATACGACACGATGACCTTATGAATATTATAGTAGAAGGCGAAAAAGAAAGAAAGAGGAAAAGAGGGAGACCAAGGCATAGTTACATCAGGCAGATCATGGAAAAAGTTGGTGTCGTGTCGTTGTGTATGTGGAGCATATTAATAGGTGAAAAGACTCGCAGAAAATCGTAGTGAGTGGCAAGATCTCTATCGATAAGAGCGCAGCTCTTAATACGATAGATAGATCTAAAATACGATAGATAGATAGAATCTTTACTAAGTAATGTTTTTTAACTAGGTTGGTTGTGAAATCTGTTTTTTCAAATCGCCTAAATGACTGTTTATCATAGACTAAGGATAGACCACCATTTACATATATCTTTATCTTAACAAAATTTATATGACAATGACAGTGACGACTGAATTGACAGTGACAGTATTGGTATATAAATATGATATACATTCGTTTGTGACAGATGAAACGACCGATTAAATGAAAATAATTCTATTTAAAAAATCAAAATAAAGAATTTAAAGCCACCCTGTGAATAATAGTGTTCTTTGATTGAAAGAGCGTGATTTACGTGACTACTTGCATTGAATATTGTGTTATCGTCAATCTATTTGATTTATCATCAGTTACAAAAATGGTGAAATTTGGTAAAAATAAATTTAAGGCTCTAAATAAGATAGCCAAAAAACATAGCAATTCTTCAGGTTCTACATCAAACAAGGTTTTGAAAAGGAAAATAAATGCAGAAAAAAAGGTTTCTTTTCAGAAAGAAGTTTTAATAAAAGAAGCCGTTTCTGAATCTGTAGACAATCAACTAGTCAAAAATGTTACTCTTCACGAAATGTTACTTAATGAGTTAGCTAAAAAGCCGAAACCGAAGAAAACCAAACTGCAAGAGGCAACCCAAACCCCAAAATTGAAACCAGTAAAGAAACAAAAACAACGTCAAAAAATGCAAATAAGTGATACGAAACTTTTGTTAAGTCTTATGAAAAAGAAATAGATGTAGTTTCAAAAAGTAACATTCTTTAACTTTCATTTATAACCTCTATCTATATAAATACCTAACATGAACTTCAAATTACATCAAATACTTGAAAATAATTTTACTATTACACAACTTAGAATCTTAAATGTGTATATACATATATTATGCAATTTAAAATGGCAAACAAATAGATGGCCTCCTGATTAAAAATGGTTACTGTCACCTATAGAATGAACAACATTATGGGCATCATAAACTATACGAAAATATCCCAAGATACAACTCATGTGTTGTGATTCCTGTGGACTAGGGTGTTCCCACCCTTCCAATCAAGGGAACATGGATTGTTAATAATGGTGGATGAAAATTCCCATTGTCAGCAATATACTGTTTTTTTTTTGTAATGGATGATAATGGAATGGTAACCCCGCCTGCGCTATCGGTATACACTGGCAGGGGACCAGTGAGAGATGATAGGTGAGGATGAAAAGGCAGGTCAGTTAGCTCATCATGACGAATTCAACGATAAATTAGTCTCGATGGTTTCCAGGGGGAACCACATGGAGGTTGATCTGATGGGGTATATTGATAGCAATGGGGACTAACCTCTCCTTTACTAACAACCCCTCCCCCCTGCAATATACTCTGTTAGACTGACCTCTATGCAGTTCCTCATGGAAACTATCATGATTAATTCTTTTTGAATACACCACAATGGGCTAACTGACTTGGTTTCTTTCTCACTAATCAAAGTTCACTGGTACCCCGCCAAGAATATAATGATAGCACAGGGAGGATTACCATTACATTATCATCCACTAAGGACCCTTCAAACCCTGGGGGGTGGGGGGCGCAAATGGATTGTTAGTAATGGGGATTAACAACCCCATTGCTAGCAATACATCCGTTCAGATCAACCTCCTTGCGGCTTCTCTGTAAACCATGGTATTTAATTCTGGATGAATTCATCACAATGGGATTATTGGTCTGCTTTATAATTCTTACTTATCATTACACACTGCCCTGCAAGTGTATATTGGTAGTGTAGATGGGGTTAAAATTTGATTATCAGCCATTGAAAAAAACCTTCAAACCGAAGCAGCCATTCAAGCATAGCTGCTTCACGGTAAAAACATGACTACAAAATCTTTCTCTTGTTTATATGGTATTACTTAGGAACCTGACAGGATATCATTGTTGTTACACTAGTATATGTCACTACATAGACTTAAAACTCAATATTTTATAATAGTACTTTAAGACTTGACATAGGTACTAGTGTCTGTGCAAGCTTCCATTATCGATGACTACATTCAAGTAGTCTGCTCCGAAATGTACTATATAAGTCTATAAGAAAACAGGAAAGGTTGTTTTTTAGGTTCTCAGGACGTATCAAACAAATCTATCAATAATACATAAGTTATCACTGTTGTGTACATGAGATGTAACTACATCGCAAGATCTGATATAAATAATAAAAATAATTTTTATTCAAGTAAACTTAATAATAAGTATTTTGAATAGTAATTAACCTTCCAATTTGGAACTCACTTTCAGCTGATAAGAGCGGGCAAAAAACAGCTGTTGCTTTTTTCAAATAACTATCACAAACTTCATATTAATAAATGAAAAGAAAAATCTAGAAGCACCCGTTCACCAGCATGGCGGATGAGCCAACCATCCAAGCAAAACCAACCTTGTTGAGCCTGGTTGGCTGGTCACTGAAACGAGCTGGTTTAATACCACAAGTCTTACCATGTTTGTTATTTTAATTATTGCAAAAAAGAATTGGGAAAACATTTATAATACAGTTAAAATAGATCATTTGTTTTCCCTTTATTAGTGTCTGTTCACACAGAAGTAGTTTAGGGCAGTAACAAAGTGTAATGTAAAAATAAACTTTATTTCAATTATATTAAAACTCACATTTAACATGATCTCTTTTCCTCTCTAAGTTGGCATGTGTAAATCAAGGTGTGAACGGATACTTAATCTAATTCAATACAATAATAATCACACATTCTACCCAAAGGTTATCTGGAAGAGATGACTTAGCAATAAGACTGCCTTTTGTACTACACTATACTTATTGCAAATTTTTCAACAAGTCCTGTAATATTGGTTAAATAATGTGAAATAAATAAATAAAAAAATACTTGATGGAGAAGCCTTGATATTTCTACTTCTTTATATCTGTCAAATGGGAAATATGATAAATACAACTTCTATATTCTACACACACGTGTGTAGAATCCTTATAGAAGTTCCCATAATTCAACAATATATAGGAAATTTAGTTCTTGACATAGACCTTAAACGGATTCCATGGATTCTATTAGATTGCATTACATACCTACATTCTGCTTGTTAATTTTAAATAAATAAATGTTGAATACAAACAAAAATTAAGCTATCATACATTTTTTTTCAAATTTTCCAGAACTTAATTTTTTGTAATATAAATAAATTTTGTCATCTTAGGGTATTTATTCTTTATTATGATTCTCGCATATCGGCGTAGGTGTGAAGCTAAATTAATTTTTCGTGGTTTCTCAATGATACTAATTTAGCGACTATTTTTTTTCAAATTTTTTTTATTCAACTTAGAATGGCAAACAAGCTGACGGCCCACCTGATAAAAAGTGGTAACCGTCGCCTATAGACATGAGCAATACCATGGAAATAACAGAGTATACCGTTTCGCTCATGATACCTCCCATGCGTTGCCATTCCTGAGGACTCAGGTGTTATTCCTATATATATTATAAACCGAAACACAGCCATGCAAACACAACTGCTTCACGGTAGAAACACGAATGGGACAGGGGTACCCAAGCAATCGACTTTTGTACAGTCTCCCTCTGGTATATAGTAATTTATTAATCTACCTCAAATAATGTATAATTTTAGTTACATACATATCTGTCACGCCTGTCTCCAATTAGGGTAGGCAGACAAACCTCCCTCGCCTCTTACACATTCATCAATCTTTTCATATACGCTCGCCGGTTACGGGTACTTTTAATTTTAGTAGTAATATGAAATTAAATAAAACATGAATTATGAATTTAAAACCTTTATTTGATTCACTTGTGACAAATATTAGTTCTATAGGTAGGTAAAGTAATGAATTATATCTTAAATTATCAGATATTACATACTTAAGATGAAATCTATTATTCTATTTCTTTATTTTTGAAGAAAGATGAAATAATAATATACGTGATTTTCTAATCAATTAAAATTCAATATTTAAAAAAAAGACATCTGTAATCCTTAGATTATTAGATAGTCTTCGTAAAAACGCTTCGAAAAAAGCGGGTCAACTTTTTCATACAATTGTGTACAAAACAAAGTTATCTGATTATTAAATAGGTAAGTCATAACATAAATATAATTAGGATTAAATAATCAATAAATAATACATATTTAACTTGGAGGAAAATGCGTAGATAAATAATAAGAATGCGGTAGACACGAGCTTCACAATTCTTTAAAGCAATAGCTTTAACAATTTTTTTTTTTTACTTAGCCGATTCCTTTAAATACCAATATCTCAGAATCTTTGTATATTTAAAATCTGTATTAGTTTTAGAATTAATTGAAATTTTAACTTTATTTTGTTAATTCTTATAGAAATAATAACATATTACTTTAAATAAAATAATAAAAACAATTGTTATTAAAAAAATCCACCGCATTTCGGTAATTTTAATTCAGTTGTGGAGATTGTTATCGGATATTTACAAAAAAAAATGGCGCGAGTTTTTTTTAAAGAAATTTTTATATTTGTTGTATTAATGCTTAAAATTGAAAATATTTACCGATTATGAGTGATTCCTTAATTAGTTCTATTTTTTATCCTTTAATTTTTGCTTCTTTTTATTGCGCAAAAACTTATTTCAATTAAATATAGATACGCCAAGATACGTAGCAAGTGTATCTACGGTAAATATGTAGAAAACGAGTCACTTAACTGATGATTGGTTACAAAAAGTTGACCCCTTTTTGAGATTCGAGGTATAAGTTCTATATAAGTTTTAACCATTGTTCGTAAAATATTTAAATACATATACAATACTTTATTAAGTCTTGTAAATGATAGATATATAGATATTCTTTATTGTTTCCTCCAAAGGATTACAATAGTAAACTTATTATAGATACAATCAATTAGTGGGAAAGTAATGGGTGAACTTATTGCTAAAAGCGGACCCTTTCAGGCTACCTTCTTTTAGGCATCCTATCTTTTTGAGAGGAGTAATTATAAACAGTTGAAATTAAATAATTAATTTAAATTATCGATTTTATAATTTAATTGACCTAAAGTTTTAGATTATATAGATATAGTGTCTCCATACAAATACTTCGAGAAAAACAGGTCAACATATTATTACAATTTAGCGTGATAGAGTTCTAAGTGATTCCTTTAATTTCTATATTATTTTGTCTCATAAATTCTGCACTTTTCAAAATACACTGTGTGCGTAAGTATATATGTATAAAATTAATAAAAAAATTAGTCAACTAATTTGACAAAAAATTGCCCCGTTTTTGAGGCTCGAAGTTCTATCTATAATTATAATCTAAATCTAAAGTATATGTGAAATAAAGAAAACGTTAATCCTTTTTTTATTACCACTACAATGGTTTCATATCGATTAAAATTGTAAACAATTCTAGCACAACTATTCAATAAATTTTCCGATGTTATAATGTAGAATGATAATAAATAAACACCATAAAACATAAAGTAATAGATTTAAATTACATTTTTATTTTGAGATGCCAAAATGACATGACTATTTACCGAAATAAAAGTGATTTGCCTTTTTGTATGTTTTATTTTTAAATGGCTAAATTGGATAAACTTACATATTGTGCCACATATACAAATTTTCTCTCATGTCATAAGCATATTTATTTTTTCTTTTAATATAGCTCATTAGTTTATCAGTTATAAATAACGAAATGTATAAATAATCAGTAATTTCTATGAAGAATGGATTATTTAGCAACAATGTAGCAAAGTAGTTTATTTTGCTATACGACTACAGCCTAATCAATTTTACGAATCTAATATTAATTAATAATTGTAATTACGATAAATAAAACAGTTGGTAATTGAGTGGCACGGTATAAAAGCAGATGGAGAGACAATGACGTTAAATCAGATATATCGTTAGTCGCATTCTAAAACTATCATTTAAATTTTTACAAAAGAATTTTTTACTATCAATAGGGTCATGTTGGTATGTAAACACGCTTCTACTAAACTATTTAACTAAAATATTAATTTTAGTGGTAGCTCAAGATAATAGGGTTTCAGAATCAAGTCAATGATTAAAAATTGGCGAAATATAGATCACTCGTATTTCCAATCTGGAATCAGTTATGAATGAGTGACTATTATAGTTCTTATCCTTTTCTTAGCGACCAACCGTACAGTCTTTTTAAGTATCAGTTCAGTTAACCGGTACACCTCATTTTGGTATAACGTCCCTACACCGTAATGCTAAAAGTCATCTACGTTTATATTATTCTATCCTAGACATTTTTTTTTAATTTAAAACAAAGTGAAATTATTTTGTCTACTTAACATGCACTTAACATATTTTTAATTTATTACTCAATATCAAATTATTATATAGAATCAGTATTAGATTTATTTACTTAGGATACACCTATTATATTGGTTTACATTCCACCTGCTCAGAAAGAGGTTATTTTGTTTCCCCAGATCAGGAGATAAAGCATATAGAGGTGGCTATTATAATACTCAAAATATTAAGTATTAAAAGTACAGATGAGAAACAACATCTTAAAATATAAGGTTCAAGTTGTAGTAATTTCCACATACATATGCGGAAAAAAACATTAAAGAAAAGAACATTAATTAAAATAGTAGAGAATAGAAGAGGCAAAATGCTGAGTCACCTTATACGACATGGCGATTTTTTAGGAGCATAGTAGAAGGAAAAATAGAGGGCAAAAGAGGAAGAGGAAGACCGAGGAATAACTACATGGGACAGATAAAAGAAACACTAGGTGTCATGTCGTATAGGGAGGTCAAGGATATGGCCTGGGATAGAGCTGGCTGAAAGAAGATGCATAAATTAGTTGCACCAACCAGAGGAAACTCTTAAATGAAAAGAAAAAGAGAGAGAGGAAAAAAATATGATTCCCATTTCAATCGTTCCTTTATGAAAAACGTATTTTTATTAATTATATAATTTATAAATTTTGTCAACTCGCTGCACTTATAAATAAAATTCACTTTGTTTTACATGAAAACTATTTTATTCTTATTACATTATGCCTTTATCTATGAAGGTAAATGTTTTATATAATATCAAAATAAAATAATAAGTTGACCAATCTCCATACATACAAGTATGGGGATTACATTAATATGTATTAAATATTATGGAGATTAGAAACCACTAGTCACATATCATACATAAAAGTTTAAACTTAAAATAAAATTGGTATTCTTGATTATATCCACAGATGAAAATATTTTGATGGAAAATTAATAACATTAAACGTCGTCTTTAAGGCTGTACTATAAATTGGACAAATATGAAAATGGGGAAGTGCATTAGAATATATTGGCGAATGGGAAGGTGCGCAACTAGAATCGTCCACGGCCGCGGCCTCTGCCCCTTCCGCGGGTTGCACGTGGGGTCCGAGGTGTCGCGGGAACGGTGGGAGCCTCTTCCTTGACTGGAGAAGACTCTTTTTCCTCCTTAACTACCTTTTCTGGTTCTGGTTCTGGTTCGGCTTTCACTTCTGGGGTCGGTTCCGTCTCCTGCTCCTGCTTCACAGAAGTCTTATCATTTTCAACACCTGAAAACAGAAATTGCATTGAATATTTGTAGATATCAGTATAGAAAAAATGGGTTAGAGCTTTCGTTCGGAACCTGGATTAGGAATTTATTGTGTTGTGGTCAAATGTGCTCAAATTGAAGAAATGACACATACAGCAATAAAATGTACTTACTATGTAACTGAGTGTTGTAATATGCTGTCTGCATTATTCATAAAAATACTTTTTCTATAACCTAAACCACAAAATGTCACTGCATGCGTAGCAATTATAGATTGAGAAATACACAGTGTAACTGGTTATCATCAATTTTAGATTAGAGGTCTAATACTGAAACCTAGTTAAGACTACTAAATGCGAGCGTAATATCTAAAAACATCCCAAGAATGATCAACCAATTGTTGGCTGATGCACAAGTTTTTGATAATTGAGGTAGACAATATAATAGTTACTCGCGACTTTATCCGCGTGACCGGGATATGTTTACCTACAAGGATAAAAAGTAGCCTATATCCTTTTCCATCTTATATATTATGTAGTCAATTTCATAGTTATTGGTTTAATCATTAAGGAGCTATAAGGTAAACATACTTTCACATTTATAATATTAGTAAAGATTAAATAGGCTATTAATGTGTCTTTCTATTACAAAGATCACAAGTTAGATTTACAAATAATATATAAAACAATTCTCAATATTTCTTAATGATTATTTTAAGTTTTTCTATTAAAATAGAACGTCACATTACCACGGAATTATTAACGATAGCGCGTTTTTGACGTGTACACTACTATTAGTTAATACATAGTTCATTACCACACCTGCAGTGATATTATACTACAATAGTGAAAAAATAGGATATATTGATAGGTAAAATATGAAGGAGATACCAATATGTTAAACAGACACGATGTAGACAAAAATAAAAAAAAGTATATATAAAAAAAATACTCACTACATTCATCCTGCAGAATCTCGTCAACAGAGCGCTCCCAGTCCTCCAAGTCCTCTGGTATAGTATTGTCAACCATGACAGAGTTCTCTGGCTCTTCTGTACATACAGTAACACAATTATTTAAAAAAAAATTAGAAGTCTTAAGAGCAGAATGGGAGGAGAATCTAGCCTCAAAAATGAAGTCCAAATGGGGAAGAATTTGCACTGAACAGGCACACACACATATACTTGAACATTTGAAATTACATACTATCCTAACACCTCACAGTGGGGAGAAGGGATTGTTAGTAATGGCGACTGGTGGCTCTATTGCTAGCAATGCACTCTGTCAGGTCGACCTTCACGCGTTTCCCTTGAAAATCATCTTAGTGGAATTCGTCATAATTGGCTAATTAACTTGCTGTCATCCTCATCTGTCAACTCTCACTGTTGTCCCGCCAGCTTATACGGATGAGTACATTGCTAGCAATAATAATATTTTTTTGTAGAAGTTAAAAAATAATAATAAATAGTTTTATTTTCTCTTCACAATTTATCACAGTGGAATACAATGAGACATGCTTATATTAAAGTAATCAAATTATAAATATAATTGTAAGAGACTGGTGCCTGAGATAGTTATAAGAATACCTGTATTACAGGTCTTTGTTTTTTTTTAAAAACTTTGTTTTCTGTCGCTTTGTTTTTTGCGACAACCTTCTAATCTGTATTAATATATCTGTGTATACAACCGATGATTTTTTTTAAATTATATATATATATATATATATATATATATATAAATAAATTTGTGTATATATAAATTTGTAAACTATGTGTGTAAATGTATAAAGACTATCGTATCTAGTATTTAGTCCACTATTCTTGCTCCGTTCTCTCTTGCCACGACCCTCAACACTTTGCAAAATTAATAAATATGTCCCTAGTTTGACTGTTTGTATTACAGGTCATCAGGGCCTCACTTTTCCTTTCCCACCCTCAGGAAAATTAGGAGGGAGGTTATGCGGCCCATTAGGATTACTAGCTTTCGTCATCCACGTGACCCCTCTGGAGACCACGACCTTTTCCAGAAGGGAGATGCGGTGGCGGCGAATTCATTACGTTCGCGATAGGCCAACTGACTTCATGTTCAACTGTCTTCATTCACTGGTACCCCACCAGCGCAAGCATGGCGATCAATATTAATAGCGTAGCGAAAGTTACCAGTCAATTTATTTCATTACAAACAAAATAACACAGGTGTTATTCGGCAGAGAGAACTATTAGGGATGCATTTTTAGTCTTAAAAAAAAAAAAAAAAACAACTAGGGTTACTTTCCACGTGGATTAATTCTGAAGTTTGAATTAAAATATTAACTGAACGGTACCTTTTATAGTCTCACGGTGTCCGTTTTCAATTTCGTCCTCGTTCTGCTCATCATCGGGCGTGGTCTTACGTCGCTTCCAGTTTCCGGACTCCTCGCTGTTCATAGGTCTCTTTACGGTGTCCTGGGTTTGCTGTTACATAATAATTAATTTTATTGATTTAATGGTACCATAATTTAGTTTTATGGATTTTAAATATTTAACCCCTCGAGCGTTTATTCATCATACGCTGTACCAAACAAAAATATGGTACCGCGCGCTAATGCAACAGCGTCTGTTGCATAACTCAGTTTGCAGCGTTATTTTCATTAAATTTATGAAGGTCATAATTTATGTAGGTTAATAAACCCATTTATACATAACCTCTAATCGAAATTTGGTAATTAAAAAAATCAGTGACGCAGTGGGTGCAGCAAGCTAGCTCCACGGGCTAAAATCTATAAAACTACAATATGGTATTAAGATCTACGCCTCGTAATACTATATTATACCTAATTGAAACCTATTACACCTAATTAAAATTGGTAACTCTCACCTAGAGACAAAAAATATTTAGCATCACAGACATTGTGTACTGTATTACAGACTGTAAAATCTTATCATAAATCTCAAATTGTACCTACTAGAACGGTTTATAATAATCTAACTATAAAGTTCATAGATAAATAATAACTGCTGTGACCATGACATGGTACAATCTTTGTCGAAAAGTCAGCAATAATAAAATCAAGTATAGGTTCTATGTAAATACCGACAATCGCGTTGCATTAAGTCTAGAAAATAAATTTAAATATTTGTGCGAAAGTTTAAAATTAACTGACCTGCATCTGGTTGCCGGACTTTTCAGTGAGAAGACGCAGGAAGAGCTGGTGGTGGCGCCAGGTGCGCAGGTGTACGTCAGCAGTCTCCTCACTGTCCAGCAACTTGCGGCACAGGCGGCACTGCACGCACCGGAGCTCCGTCAGGAACGACCGGCCCACGCCGCGCTCCGTGCTAACAACAGCAAGACAATATTTAATTATTATAATAATAAATACTTAATACGAACAATTTCCGAAAGCACATTCTGAAGGATGGCACTGAGGACATCTGTCGGGCATGTCGCCATCCCGGAGTCACTCAGACATGTGCTTTCGGGTTGTTCAGCTCTTGCCAACACTGAGTACTTGCACAGACACAACCAGGTAGCCAAAATACTCTATCAAGAACTAGCTCTGAAGTACGGCTCATGAAGGAAGAACTAGCTAAACAACTGAGATTGGTCAATCGCTCTAGGCCACTGGTGCTTCACGACAACGCAAGAGCTTGTGCACTGTGTGCACAACAAACAATCACTAAGTTAGATAACCTACAATTGGTATGTCTGCGACATCCACTGTACTCCCTGGACCTTGCTTCAACAGATTACCATTTTCTCCGGAATTTGGACAACTTCTTACAAGGAAAAAAAAATTAAACTCCGATGCGGTAGTCCAAACCGCCTTCAAAGAGTTTATTGATTCTCGCCCTCATGGTTTTTTTTTTTTAGTAAAGGGATCAATGAACTCTCTATGAGATTGCAAAAGTGTATAGATAACAACGGTGCTTACTTTAATTAAATATATTTTACAAAAAAAAAAATCACTCCCGTACAAAACGCCAATTTCATATGTAAGGAACTAATATGTATGTGCACTTTGGAGCACAAAGTAAGTCACAATAACTTATAATAGATCCAAACAAGAATTAAAAAATTAACATGTCAGACTTAAGTGGGGATAAGTTTATTTTGGACTAAGCCTTGGTTTCCAAACAAATATATACATATACTCCTAGGTGTGTGTGTGTGTTATATAAAGTATACTTAAATTTTTTTATATTCCAAATTTATATTCCAAATTCCAAAACGAATTTATATTCCAAAATAGACTATTATATTTCACAACAGATTAATGTGAATAAGCATATAAAGCAGAGTGCCAATGTCCTATATGTTCTCTTTTTTCATTTATTTTCATAATTAGGTCATGGTAGGCTAGTCTAAAATAAAAGTAAGTCTAATATATACCTATAAGCTGGGAACATCTCCAGAGTTGCGTTGCTCAGATCATCACCCTCATTATAATCCAGTATAGTATTTTCAGCATCCAGATTTTCTTCTTTTTTCGCCTCTACATTTTGCTGATCCTCTTCTGTTCCATCTTTATTGACTTCAGTATCCTCCTAAACAATAGAGAATACACATACAACATAACGTATTTATATTACCACATGTATGTTACTTGCGTCAGGGGTGTTCTAAAAAATCTGTCCGATTCTAAAATAAGGGCATACGGGTATACAACCCCGGCTTTCTAAGCCGCTGCAGTGTCCCAGTCTTTTCCGCAACTGCAGTGACTCCTTTTTTACTTTCCTACATAAGTCCCTTATTCCTCTCATTTACTAATTGCCTTTACGCATTTCCAACGTTCCCTTCCTTTTTTCCTCAATCCTTTCTTCCAAACCGTATGTGGCGGAAACCACCAACAAATACATTTCCAAAGAGGATTGACGTCAGACAGGCGGTCGGTTGTAAAACTATAAGCTAAATCCTTTAGTAATATGTTTCAATTTGACAGCACAATCCCCATCTTAAAAAAAGTTTTAATTTGACACAAAAATCCCCATTAACAAAATAATCCGCCATTAAATTCATTGGTTCTTCACTCATTGGAGCCACTCGACCGATTTTGTGCAAACTTCACATAAACCATCTACTAAACAGTCTGAACAAAGCCTAAACATTTGGTTTGGATAGGTGAGCCCGTTTTTGAGTTATAAAATTACAACGAAAAGTAGCATTAATTTTTAAATATATATACTAAGAATGATGTTCACTTACCTGGGTGTCCCCATTCTTATTCTCTTCAGTTTTCTTCACTTGTTTATCGTCGGAGAGCCCATCGCCGCGACGCCAGCGTTGACGATCCTCACGCAAGTACAATTGCTCCATTGACAGCGTCGAGATGACCATTACTGGGGAGTGTGTAAATTAATTACAAACAAATACACTCACGAGTGTAATTCCTGACAGAGTAGTAAACATATTTTACTATATATTTAACATTTCATGAATAAGGATGGCACTTTCTCTAAAGCTGGCACAGTCTGTATCATTTTTATATATTAAAATGGCAATTATAAAAGAGGTTCATTAGCGAACTAAATCTTAATGATTATAGAATGAGATGGAAATAAATATTATTAATATTTTAAGACTTTATTCTGCAACAAAAAACAGAGACTTTAATCGTGACATAATAATGTATTATGGGTTTACTCTCGTATTGACCCCAACATAATCTAACATGACCATTTAATATTAAAATTGGTTTAGAAGTGGCAGCGATATTACATAAAAACATAAATGAATTGAGAACTTCCTAAAATGGTGTAAACAAATTATACTGTTCATATATTTTTAAAATTACTTTTTACACTGACTCCATTTCAAGTTTTAAATTAAGTAACCAACTTTATCAAATGTCATCAAAATTAAAACATTTGCAAGAATTCTCTGATACAAAATATACCCTTTTTTTAATAACATAAATAAACAATTATTTAGACCTCGTTACTCACCCTCGGGTTTGGGTTTAGACATGATCTCCTGTTTATCCTGCATGTTCTTCAGATGCTCAGCAGTCAATCGGTGCTCGTCAAGCTCTAGCCGAGTAGGCATCTCCTTGTGACAGGACGTGCAGGTTGGGTGGAGGTACTTTTTCAGTTTACGATGTCCAACGGTGGTGCGGTGTATCGCGCCATCTGCCGCGTACATATCGCACATAGCACAGTAGAAGTCGCGAGGTGGTTGCTGACCAGTCTTGCGTGTACGTTTCATGTCGCGGATCTGGTGATGATGGGTTAAATTAGTGTTTTATAGATATATATTTTGGGAATTTAAAAGAGGAAGATTTTTGTACATAAATCATCTATATAGGCACTTCTATACCATTTGTATTTCTGCCAAAAACGACTGTGCCTATATAGCTCAAATAATTTAAATACATGTATGTATGTACAGTATGGAAGTACAGTAGTTTAATCATCAGAAATAGTATTACATGTAACATTCCGCTACATGTAGCATTATGTATTCTATGAAGTCTATAGAAGTAGTAACAATAAGCTAAATACCAGATGGATCGTCAACCTGTAGAATGGTGATCTAACAGAATAAGAACCTTATGAAGGTTCTTATCACTTACTTGTAATTGTATAGAAAAAAAATTACCTTGAACTCTTGTCTCATAGTATCTGCGGTCAATGCATAACTCTCAGCTGTTTTCTGCATCATAATAGCGTGAGCTCTTCCGCTCAGGTGGTTCTCAAATGATCTTCCATCCCACATACTCTTATTACAGATATGACATTTCAGCAATTGGGGGTTGATGTCATCATATCGAGTTTTGGGGACATCCTTTTTGATCTCCTCTTCTTTGCCCTGGTTTTGATCATTATTGGTCCCCTCGGCATTATCTTCTTGTTCACTGTTATATACTTAGCATGTTAAAAAGTTGTTTAAATGGAATTTTAAGTATATGCTTACCAATTTGACTTTTTTTTATATAATAAAGGAGCTAAAACTGGTAATATACTAATGTATATATATGCAATTATGCACTCTAGTGATTTCGATGATTGTATACAATTCTGTGTTTGTACATATGTTCTATCTGCTCTGCCTTATACTATAGGGTACAGTGTCACCAGTATCCTAGTTTGTGTTAATAACTTTCTGGCCTGAATGTGGCTATGTAAGATGCCAATTACAGACAAGATGCAAAGATCTCACATGTTTTCTTTAATCTTTGTAAACCACCAGTACCTTTGCAGGACTCAATACTAAGTTCATACATCATTTGCTTTATTTAAAAGTAGCAGTGGCGTATTTTATGTTTCAACCACTCCTCTTTCAAGGCTCAGGAAATGGGAGTAAATATGTAATAATAATAGTCAGCGTATTTTGATCTCAAACTTAGTAGAGATTGTAGTTTGGGTACTAGACAACTGATAAATATGCATAAATATATTTTTAATATCTACATAATTATCCAGATCAATACAAGTAGATATGCGTGATGCAGCGTTTATTGATTGATTGATCTTTACACCAAGATTGTTCATCATTCATGGTTGTTCATCAGTGTTATAATTTATAGAACAAATTAATTTAATATTAAAGCTATTACCTTCGCTGAATCTAATATATAATTGAGCTAATTATAGAAAATATAAATAATCATGTTTACAATTATTATTCACAATTAGGCTCCTTATCATTACATACTATAGCAATTATTATTGGTATTATAACAATATATAGTATTTATTAAGAGCATTAAAAATTTTAGGTTTTATAGTTCAATATATACCTGATTAATAAATATTAAAATATGAAAATATTAAAATATGTAAATACATGTCTGTATGCTTTATTATTTTAACTATACGGCTATCATACATTTGCATATATAGAAAAAATATACAATTTTAATTGGCTGTAAAACTCCATTCAATTAGATGTTATAGTTTTATTTTTCATATTTTTATTATGTGACCCAATTTTAATATTTGAAATTAATGTAATACCTATATTTTTAATTTTCCTTCTACTCTGCAAAATAATTACTTTGATATTTATAAAATTAGTTTTGACCAGTAACCTCATTATTCTCATATTATAATGCCACCCTAGATAGATAGATCTCTCATTATTTTTAAAAACAAAATACAGCTCATGTTAATTGCTGATAATGTAGCTTTATATAATGCAAAAGTATTTTTAAAATTGGTTAAGTATTTTTTGAGTTTGTTTTAATTTTAGTTGGGATAGAATATGTGTAGAATGCGGGACTCAGCACCTAGAATTAGATTTAGCTTTATAATATTACGATTTTGCTCCCCAAAGAAAAATAGTTCACTCATCACAAAATTCATATAGAACTCATTAAGTAGGAAGCCCTATTGATTGTAAAAAACAATTTTTGAATTCAGTTTAGATACATAACATACACACATAAAATACAGAGGAATTGAGAACCTCCTGCTTTTTAGAAATTAAAACAATATTTAATTTTAAAACCTAGTGTGTACATATAGAGAAATCTGTTTAAATATTTTCAACAAACTATTGCATAAAATTAATATAAGTTTGTTATAGATATTTAATGAAAGTGAGCAAGTAAACTAATAGCTTAGTTGTTCACTCAACTGGAAGATCTCTAAAAAAAAAACTAAAGCATAGACAGTCTTGTCTATGGTGAAGACACAGTTCTATTGAGCGTGGCTTATAAACAAACATTTTGGGCAAGTTTTGCCAATTTGGCTAAATAAAGGCCGGTGAACGTAAGATAATATACAATGTGTTAAACAGAAATATATACAACAGGGCTTTATCACAGTTGTGACTTCAGAAAGTCGGTGCAACCACCGGAAGGAAGCTGGTCCTTACCTCTCCTTGACAGGTTTAGCCTTAGAATCGGCATCCTTTTTCGGGAAGCTCTTGTTTTGTTGCCTTTGCCCATCATTGGGCCTGAACGGTTTACGATTGGTGTTGATACGCTCACCAGCGCGATTGTAATTTCCCGTACGCCGGAAATTACCCTGATTGCCCATCTAAAGGGAATTGATCAGAAAAATGTTAGTATGAGTGAGGCTTTATGAGCCACACGAAGAATGCTGAAAATGAAATCTTGCAGTATATAGGCCGGTCAGTTAAACACTAGCCACTGAACATTTTGATTCATGTGTCACATACACATGCACCAAAAGACAAATAATTCTGTAATTTATAAAACATGCATGAGAAACATGGTAAATATTCTTAAAATATGAAAATACTTCAAGATATATTTATACTATTGAGATAGGTACAAGAATCAATTTGTGAGTCATTTACTTCCACATGAGAATGTAAGGAAGGAACCATCAAATGTGATAAATATGAAAACCATGTTTGCCATACTCTAAGCAATCAGTGAGTACCTTGACACTGGTTGCCTAATCATTTTACTATAGTAATCCAATGCCCTATTATTAGTGACAAAATTTTAGTAGCAATATATTGGGTGGAAAAATTATTATAATGTTGTCAACACTACAAGAATCCACATACAGGAGTAGTAATATCACTCTCTGGGCATTTTACAGCATTTGTCGATAAATCAATTGCGACTTTATGTAATAATATTACTATTTATGCGAAAAATATTTAATTTTTCATCATATGCAACTATATCTATATATTATTTTAGTTATTTTACTTACCCTATTAGGTCCATAACCACGATCAAACCGACCCATATTAGGACCAAAGTCCCGTCTTATGGGCATGTCTAATAGTGACGGGACAGGGTTTTGACGGGGTTGGAGGAGATTAATGATGTTGCTGGCCAACGCAAGCGTAGCTTCAGTAGAACCACCTGCGAGAGGCAGCAAATTTGGAAGACCACCACCCGGGCCTCCGCCTTGCCATGGCGAAACACCGCTTCGGCCAAAATTCTTGCCACGATCATTACGGCCGAAATCCATGCGCCGACCGCCGGTCTGAGGTCTCCGATTAGCCATTTGTCTGTTCATAAAAAATTACATGACAACTTGTATCATTAAGGTTAGTTATCACTAGAAGTTTTTTTAGGTGAAATTAATATAATATGTGTGCAGGAGACAGGTGTAGCTATTTAAACAATTATCGTCGAGTCAATTAAAATAAATCTGTCAAATACCACGCACCACGCAAAAAGTCTATTGATTTTTTTAGACCGGTCTCTAAAGACAGCTATCTAAATAGCCAAAAGTGAAATAAACATATTAGACTATATATTGAATGCTATATATATTTACCAAAGATGTAAAAATACACGAAGTCAAGATTTATTGTCTAAATTTAAATCGAAGACAAATATGAAATAAAAGCGTAGTTATAAGAAGAATAACTGCGACGAAAATACAATTATCAATATGGAGGACGTAAATGAGACGCGCGACGAAAAACACAGATTAGCGAGAAACAGATTAGAAACGGGCACAGAATACGAAGAAAATCATTAGTACAAATATCTAAAGATTACCATAAGAGAGTTAAATAATGAGAAAAATACGTTATTATTAATGCATTGAAATAAGTGTAATAAAATCTGCCGACAAGCCCGTCATAAATATATCTATACGAATATAGAGCTACATAAATTGTGTTGAATATATAATGTAGTAATGTAAATGAAAAATTTTTTACATGCACATTTTTTATACAATTGCCCGATATGAATTGACAAAAATAGCAACTGATGTTGTATTTTTCGTCCTCTTTTTACTAAATATACTCTCATAAGAAGAAAGGAGTAAACCATATGATTTACAGTTTTATTTTATCATTACTTCTATGTAATTCCTTGTTCTCAGATACAATCCTTTGTTCTTAGTCGTAGTTAGTAGTAGTTCTAATAACTGATCAATCTGTCAATATTGTCAATGTGACTTTTCTGTTTGACTTCTTGTAGGTAGGTAGTATTTTCTTTTTCCACATGTGTTTTAAATAATTAAAAATAATATATTACTTTATAAGTATCACAATCAAAAGAATTATCGCATTCGGATTAATGGTAGTATTTTTAGTGTGATCTTTTAAATAACTCTAGTCAGACTAGCATCTCATGCTTGTAGCATCAGTATTTAGTTTGTTTATGTACTTTACATACAGCTTTTAATAAGTTGTGTTTTTTATTTATCATTATCATTATTGAATAAAGAAATTCATTGAATTTTGGTACCTAGTTCTACAATTTTTACTGTAGCTTTAAGATATAATATTTTTTTAAGATATAACAACATCACTTATGTCTGTAATTGTATTTTTTAGTAGTCGTTTATGCCTATAAAAAATATGGCATGCCAAAGTGCTTCTTATGAAAATCCGTCAATTTGAGTGATATATTATTTAGAAAATATTAATGACATTCTAATATTTACTTATTTATTAGATTTATTGCTGCATTTGAAAATGGACGAAATGGAAAAAGAAAATGAACGAAAGCGGACTAAGGTAATTTCTGTTAATTTTTTTTATTCTCATAACTTCTCAATTTATTCAATCTGTATTAAAATCGAAATATATTAATATAATTCGATTATGATAACTGAAATTGAATGATGATGATGAAATGTAATGTACTTACCTGGAGGATTATTTGTAATGGGGATCTAACAGATTGGTATTGGTAGCAATATACCTTATCAGGTCGATCTCGATGTAGTTTTCGCTAGAATTCGCATAGAGCATGAAATCATGTAAGCTATAGGGACAAATTTATCATCATGGTAATTTCCAGAATCAATTAGGTTGACCTGATTTGGTATGAATGCTAAATTCTGTTACTAACAACTCCACCCTAGTAGGATTTTACAACCCTAATTTATTATCTTATAAATACTGTAGGATCGCAGTCCATCACCAGAAGTAAAGTCTACAGCTGTGGTTAAGTACACAGCATACCACAGCCCTGTTGGATATGCTCGATTGCAATGTAACACAGATCTGAATTTGCCCCCATCCAATTGGGGAACTGCTATTGATTCTTATGGTCTTAAACAGATACTGACTGAAAGCACTGGATTATCTAGGTAAGTTAATTTATGTTATATATTTTACTGGCTTTTTTATATTTTTATATGTACAGTGGATTTTGGGTATAACAATGATGAAGAGACCACTCTATTTTCATCATTATATCTGGAAGTTGTTATAGGCAAAAGTAAAGAGATACTGACACATACACATATATAGTTTTTTCTTTGCACAAATCAGCATTGTTTTCACCATCTTTCAATTAAGAAATGATTTCGACCTTTTCTTTAACAGTGGATGTGCATCGAGATAGTCATACTTATCCAAAAATTTACTAAAGTCAATTGCTACTCAGCATATCACTTTGTAACTGAACCATAAATTCAACTCTAAAATGTACATGCTTTCCTACCTATGTAGCTGATATCTATAAACAATAGGTAAAGATCTCCACACTTGCTGACCATCTGTGTGGATATAAACAAAGGGTTAGAAATGTTTTGAAAAAAGAAATCTTGTCTCTTTAGCGGCCAACTTCTGTCGCAATATCTGCATGGGATTTCTAGAAATTTGTTACTCTTTACACCCGAACTCGGCGTTATATTCAAAGTCTGTTATAGCCACATGAATTTTGTACTAAAGTATGATTTAAATTCAAGGGACTTAGATTTAATGTTGCTATAGGCAAATGGTCGCTACAACCAAGGTTGTATAAATGAAATCCACTGTATATCTTTTTAGACATATATTTTTGACATTTGTTTTTTATTGCTTTCCTGAATAATTTTGAATAGTAATATAAGATGCTTTCACTATTTAATTGTTCAAAATGCCTAATGAGTTTATAGAATTTTGACTCTTTAGCATGGACCTAGAGTTCATAAATTGTTCTCAATTAATTTAAATATTTTTCCTACTTATTTTACATCTTTGTGTTGCCAATTCATTTGAAGTTCTATTTTATTTGATTTTTTTTTTAATAATTGAAGTTGCCGTTTTATTATGGAGTAAAAAACCTGGTTACGAAGTAAAATCCACTTAGACAAGCAATTTAAAATTTAAATATTTTCAGTGTGACAAATCTATGAAATGTCTTCCTCAATGTCTATTTATCATTTAAGTCTCTTTTGTACCAAAATATACTTGTTTATGTAAAAGTGTATCACTTGCATTCACATTATTTTTTTTTAATATGAATTTCAGTTTTCGTATGGCGCACATGTTCCCGGACTCTGTCGGAGAGGTGGATGTTATATCAGGCGCTGAGTGTATAAAAAAGCTACTCAAATTGCCATATCATCCTAATGGAACTGTAATTATTATATTTGTAACATTTACTAGTATAAGTGCTAGACAAATCAATTATCTGCTACTTATGGAACTTAGATATGATACATCTATAGAATTAGATATGAATTTGGGAGTACAGTAAATTTTTTTTTTTTAAATATAGTTATAAAAATTTAAAAAGGTTGAATGTTCAGATCTTTACTTTAAAACTATATAATATTGAAGATTAAAGCTTAAATATAGAGACCCCATATTTCAATCTATAAATCCTACAAAAACTTGTTCTTAATGAATGAACCTTTGAAATTTAGAACAGAATAAACACACCATGTATAGAATAAACCTATATTATAATTATTATAGGTAATAATTTTGTTCAGGTCAGCATGATGGTTCACCGTGTAGAGAATACCTTATTATTGGATGACTTTGATGTGTATGACTATCTGAGCAAGACAGAATGGTCCTGGCTGAAGGATTTTTTCTATGAGAATATATTGAAGACAATGTCAGAACAGGTAAGATTAATTATTATTTTATTTTGATTTGTCTTTCCATAGAAACAAATACTACTATAACTTAAATAATATTCACAATAGTGACAATAATTCTAGGTCTTAATAACTTTAATTCTGATATGTATAGTTATTTATATTAATATGGATAGTTTTATGGGTAGATTATTATGCACATGTGTAGGAGCGAATGAAGCTGTCGTTGGCGCCAGGTCCGAGTTCGGCACTACAACTGACTCACAAGTTCCTCTCGCATAGCGTCACTGAACCCGTTCCGTCTACATCCTCCACGCCAGCCGCTCTGCCCGCCCCTGTCTGCATTGCTGGTAAGTGACTTGCATTCCTTGGGTTCTAAATCTAAATATCGTATTTAGATTGCGGGAAATTGAAACTTGAAAGAAAATTATTTTCAACTGACTTAAAAAAGATGTTTGTACCTTATAACTCTATCAGTTGTAAATGGATTTGTAATTTTTTTTTGTGGAATACAATTTTATATATTATCAACCATAGATACAACTTACAAGTAATAATGTAGTTAAGCAACAATGGGCCTCCGTATCCCTAAATAAAAACTGAGGAGTGAAATTGATGACGCCGAGAAAATTTCAGAGTGCTAACTTTTACCTTTTAATATCTTTTTTTAGGACCATTTTTACCTGAACCAGAAACCAAACCTGAAGAGCCACCAAATGAGCATCTTTACAACAGAAATGTACTTTGGACCTTTGAAGACATCCACATGCTCATTGGTAGTGATCTCCCAATCTTCGGGGACAAGGATAGACCTTGTGTTAGTCTACGTCTCAGAGATGCAAGGGAACCAATAAATGTTCTTACTGGTATAGACTATTGGCTCGACAACTTGATGTGTAATGTTCCAGAGGTCCTGATGTGTTACCACCTCGATGGTATAGTACAGAAATACGAGCCCATGAAAACTGAGGATTTGCCTACAATGGAAAATTCTAAATTCTCACCAAAAGTTATTAGAAATGTTGCACAGAATATACTTTCATTTTTGAAAGCGAATGTGACAAAAGCTGGTCACACGTATTGGTTATTTAAAGGTTCTCGTGATGATATAGTGAAACTATATGATCTGTCATCTTTGTGTCCAGATAGTTTGGATAACCCTTTTACCACCCCAGTGGCAATGTTGCTGTACAGGGTAGCAAGAAATATGAGGTTAATGAATAAGACCAGACATGTGAAACAGTTGTTGGAACATGTGATTGAGTTGCTGAAGATGGAGAGGCATCCGCAGATAGTAGCATCATCATACTACATGCTATCTGATTTGTATGTGCCGGCAACCACTAATCCAGCTTGTCCAAACTTCAAAGGTAAGAGACTGAAAGAGTAACTTGTCTTTTTTAATGTCATGTATAGAATTGGTAATAATTAACAACCACTATTATTTTGTTTTAAATTATTAAGTAGTAATTTGTCGAGGAGATCACTTTTTAAAGATCATTTTTTAAATAAAATCATGAAATAACGTTGAAGAAAGATGATGAGACAAAAAAAAAAGATGAAGAAAATACTTATACTCTTACATAAAATGATTTTATAATAAATATATAACCAGTTTTGCTCTTTAGGGTATTTTGTAATTCTTATTGTGAGAGATTCTCAAGAGCAAGTGTATTTTTTTTTAAATTGGGGTTATTTTTTTTTATATACATTCTTTAGATTCTTACTTTTATTGTCCATATTCATTAAGTCAAATATTTCAGTACACTGTATAGTAATTTTTTTTTTAGATGAGAGTTCGGAATCTGATTGCGGAGAATCAGATTATAAATGCGAATTTGCTGAAGAAGTATCGGGTGAGCGTGACGAAACTACATCAGATCAAAGTACATCAGAGTTTGCATATAAAACAGATAGTATTGCAAGTGATACATTGTCTACAAGTGAGAGAAATAATACAAGTAAAAGACTTTCAGATAGTGAAAAAGGAGAGAACAAAACAAATGAGAAAGACGATGAGAGTGAAGGAGACAATCATAGCCTGGCAGTTCAGATTCGTGGCCTAGCTCTAAGAGATATTGGTGATCGAGTCAGAAATGATGCAGGTGTAAGTACATATAATATTTATTTGCATAATTTCTTTCTTAGGAAACAGTGCCAACAATAGGCAACAACAATTCCCATATATATATATATAGTCCCATCTTTCTGCATCTGTTTTAGGAGGAATAATAATAATTTGGAAAAAATCTATTTTAAATTTATTTTTTTAAGACTATTTTATACATTTTGTTATAAAAAAAAAATAAGGCGAAGATCATGTACACCATCAAGTTGATTTATGAACGTCCTATGATGATTTGGAACTTTCCTAAACTTTATTTTTGTTTAATATACTAGGTGCAAACTGCTAAGCTATATTGAAAAAGGTCTGTGAGTGAATGGGATACAGCATCAGCAATAAACAACCACGGTGGTTAGTTTTTGTTTGCTTTGGTTATAAGAGCTTGCTTGTTTTTAGATGAATTGGCGAGGAAGGTCGCGAGGTCCTGGAGGCTCTAGAGCGAGGGCTGGGGAGGGCTCCGGCGTAGGTGCAGGAGCGCGGTCCGGAGTGACTTCAGGAACTGGTACAAGTACTGAGTCGGCTGCAGGGGATGATGAAGTGCCCTCCCGCTGTGGACACGCACTCGCTCACGCTCTCCAAGGATTGATCGCATTACATAATGTCACAATACAAAACTCTAAGGTCAGTCAAAACTTTTTTAAACAATTTGTTGGGAGTAAGCTTGGAATAATTCACGTGTCACTAGTGAAATTTTACATACTACGTCTAATATATCACGCTGCTACGTCGCTTCACAGAGTTACGAATCACTCTAAATGAATGCAGATTTATTTGTGAGTCGTCGGCTATGCTTGATTAGCCGAGAAGTGAAATCGGATCTGACGGCCGACTAAGCCGTACGAGCGATTGAATGGAGATTTTTACACTGCGTTCAAGTGTCTATTTACTTGCTCTTATCATAAAAATAGTAATTCTTATTAAACTTTGAATATCAACTAGTAATGAGTGCGTCATTAAGGCATTGCTAGCAAAATTCACTTTTTGAAATCTTTTTCATCAAACTATAAAAGTGTTAAACAAGCATATAGCCTGAAACATTAGGGGTGTCATTGGTCTCCATGGTCCCCCAATATAACCATACCTTACCTTAGGATACCCATGAGTTGTATTTATAGCTCCTACACATAGGTATCTCTAATGTATTGCTATTTCTGAAGGCTGAGGTGTCGTGCCTTCGTTCTCATTTCTTTTACTGCATATTTAATTGTAAATGCAAACCGAAACTGTACTAACCTTCTTCTGGAAACCTCAAATCTTTTTTTTTTTGTATATTGCTGCAATTTGACCATTACATCCATTGGTATATTCAAAATTATTTTCCAGTAGGGACCTAGCCCCTTGAGAAAGGTGCATATGTAATCTTTGACCATAACTGAAAGCTCTGTTCCTGAACTGGGTTGGGCACGACCCATTCGATTATACTTCTTAAATAGCATTATGTACTTGGATATAAAAATAAACACAAAACAGATAGTTCATATTATATTTGTACAAACAGGAAGAAGAACGTGAAAGACTAAGACAGCAAATAATAGTTGAAGAACAGCACCCAAAAATGGCGAATCCCTACGAGCCAATTAAAATGGAATATCAGCCCATTAATAAAGAAAAGGCAACCAAAGAGCACACATCCAGGAGCCGGCGGCGAAGACGTGAAAAGAAGACCACAGACAAGTCTGGAAATTATCTCATAGAGACGAAATCTAAAATAGATATAAACGCCATATTGATTCGCAAAGATAAGAATACCTATCATCCAACTTGGCAAGAACCGAGTAGAGATGATAATTTTGCTTGGAAACTGCATTTGAAGACACTGTTATATGAAAAAATATGTTTGGTCTATGCGACGCTGGCGGAATACAGTTATTCTAATAAGCAATATGGTTTCTCTTTAAAGTACATAGACATGGCAAGTAAATGCCAGAAGTTATTGAGTAATATGATTATAAAAAGTAGGGTAGTTGATCCCGGATGTCTCATAGGGCGGGTTGGAGATAACTTTTTTCAATTAAGTAAAAATTGGCCCAGCTTTGAACAGTTTAAGAAGCAGTTTGAGACAGATCATGACATAGACAGCAAGTTGAGATTGGAGATAGAGAATGACATGACAGAAGAGGTAGAGGGTGATGCGGGTGACGAATTCGATCTTGGTGAGTTGTTTATTTGTTTAAAACAAATTGATAATATTGTACAGCTATTTGTTGTAAGAAACAGAAACAAAGTGTGAAATAATTTGCAATTACAAAATGTATCTATATGTATATACATATTGTTATATTAATGTTTAAATAGATATATATCTATTTACATTATTTGAAACTAATCAATTTAAACTAGGTTTTATAGTATGAAAATTATAACGGACACAACTATTTTAATATTAACTTCAATAATAACCTCATTCTTTTTCTCTATGTGTATGGGCCTAACATGAAAACATCTAAACGTGACATTAGCCAAACATTATTAGCTCTTACATATATATTCTTTTTTAGTGTGATCTTTTTACACGATAATCCGATTTTTATAATAAAACTAAACTATTGAACCGATTTTGATAAAATTTCTATGTGTTTAATCTGTAAAAATACACTTTTAGATAAAAAAAATGGTTTTTAGCTGATGTAGTTATAAGGTAATAAACATAAACAAATACAATAGAATTTAGAACTTCTTTCTTTTTGAAATTGGTTGAAAATTTCAAAACATATATTTTTAGAAGTTTCGGCTGCTGGTCAGTCGGTCTATATGTTTTTTCCACCATCACACAAAAACTGCACCACGAATTTGGATCTGATTTTCATAGTTCTGTTACTAAAGTTTGGACTTAAAATCTGGTGTAAAAGAGAGTACACATACTACTAACGGGTTCACCTCCCTGCTGCAGATATATCGCTACCTAACAACGAGATGGACTCAATGCTGCGGTCAGGTGCATACTACAGGCGCGCTGCCAACGCCGCCTGCGACAAGCGTGGCGAGCTGCAGCGACGGCTCGCCTCCGTCAACAACGAGCTCGCTGTACGCTACATGAACGACGCGCAGCGTGAGTACACGCCTTGAATTAATCTGATCAATAAAAACTAAAGATCGGTAATGTAAGAGAGAAACAATAAACAAACATATATGTTAGAGAGAGATAGATAGGCAAGTCAATTACGTATCCGTCAGTAACATGTCATATATGTATATTTAGTAGAAAAGCGGTGTAAGGAGTGATAACAAATATTGAGGGGCGCCGTATATATAAAAAATCCATTAGGTCCCATTCTTCTGTAAAAACAATACGTTCAGTCACCTATTATGGGCACAGTTTATTTGTTACTCACCAGAAGGAGTTTGTGTGGTTATTTGCCTAGGTATCTTACTCATACTTCTGCTATCATCTAGTAATCACTGTAACGCTATATTTTATTTATATTATATTTTATTTACTTCTAGATTAATTTAGACTTTTGATGACATTGGGTTATCATGTTTAGGTCTATAGTTCTCACTTTCAATACTGTTATACTGTTAAATCATTAGTTTTTCTAAGTCATATAGGTAATTATAATATATAATTAAATATGTGTTCCCAGAGATCTACATGCAATACACAGAGGAGGAAGACCAGAACTCGAATAAGGTGAAGCTCCTAAAGAGGCAGTTTGCAACGCTGTCCCGGTTTTCTTGCGAAAGTCTGGAGGAGGCGACCGCTATATTCCAAGAAGTGAATGATGTGCCTAACCTCGCTCTCCTCTACTGCAACAAGGGGCGATATATGAGATTCAAAGCGCTTTGTAGTCAAGGGAGTTTTGGGTTAGTCAATTTTATTTATTTATTACGACTTAAATGTTCAAACTCACAATTACATACAAAAGAACAAAAAAAAACACGTGTAAAACGTATCATTTTTTAGTCATCATCATAAACCGTTATCTGTCCACTGTTGAACATAGAGAACCCTATAGACTCTCATAAGAAATAGAACCGTTCGTTATGGCAGTTTACCATTGGGGGGATTTTGCCAGTAGTTGCCACGTTTGGCAGGCAGGTTGGCAAGTGCAGTCCAGCTTTTGTGATGTTTACTTGTTAGTATAATAAATTAATAAGTAATCGTTTTTTATTATTATTCTAAATTATTTAAAGATGGGTATATCGTCATCATCATCATTTCAGCCATTATCCGTTCACTGCTGGATATAGGTTTCTCCAATAGACCGCCATAAGGAACGGCCCTGATGGATATATATGTTGCAGTCAAAACTCTTAACCAATCAAAAGTACTGTTGACTAGCAAAATCAGTCAAAAGTACTTTTGACTTGTTCAAGGTTGGTCAAAAGTGGTTTTAACTGAAAATCATTGATTATTAGTACTTTTGACTGCAAATTTGCGGTTAAAGTACTTTTGACTGACGCTCTTCGTCAAAAGTAGTTTTAACTGCAATAAAGCATCAGTCATTAGCACTATTATCTCGTTAGATATGAATAAAAATGATATTTATTAAATGTGAAATAGTTTATTACGAAAAATTTGGCATTACAATCAATACAAAGAAAACATACTTATCTAACCTAATTTAAGTAAATTATATTAGGTTAGGTTAGGACTTTTAAGAGTTTTGACTGATACAACCAGTCAAAACCACTTTTGACGGAATCACTTAGTCAAAAGTACTTTTAACCAGCTCCATTGGGCAAAAGTACTTTTAACTGTTATTTTAGTCAAACGTATTATTGACTAAAGCATACGGTCAAAAGTACTTTTGACTGATTTTGCTAGTCAACAGTGCTTTTGACTGGTTAAGAGTTTTGACTGCAACATATATATTATGTGCTAAATAATAATTAATCCATACCATTCAACAGATCGGAAAAACGCAGTCTGTACAACAAAGCCGAGGAATTGTATAATGACGCCCTGAAGTTGCTGGGCCCTCGCGAGACGTGCGGTGCTATTTCTGTGTGGGACCTGGTAGCCTGGGAGCTCTCTTGCCACCTCTATACCAAGGCGGTGCTGATGCAAGACTCCAATATCAGCGTGAGTATCATCAGAGGGAGACTTTGTACAAAAGTCGATTGCTTGGGTACTTCTGTCCTATTCGTGTTTCTACCGTGAAGCAGTTGTGTTTGCATGGCTGTGTTTCGGTTTGAAGGGTAGAATATGGCGTGAATTTACAGGGTACAGAGGAATAACATCTGAGTCCTCAGGAATGGTAACGCATGGGGGGTATCATGGGCGAAACAGTATACTCTGTTATATCCATGGTACTGCTCATGTCTATAGGCGATGGTTACCACTTTCTATCAGGTGGGCCGTCAGCTTGTTTGCCATTCTAAGTTGTATAAAAAAAAAGAGTGCCTTCGCTTATATCTTCCTTATCAATATTATAAATGGGAAATTTTGTTTATTACTTTTTAGTTCATTAATGGCTCAACCAATTCTCATGAAATTTCGTATACATGTTCTATATGAGATGTAGAAAGACATAGGTTCCTATTTACCCTGGTCAATCAATATATATCAGGTAAAAGCTAGTAATTATCTTTTATAAAAAAAAAAAATTATCTATATATTTATTTATCTAGGTAAATATTAGTAAGGTAAAATGCATAATTATATGTTCACATTTATATATACACATACGTGTTATATTTATATATAAAAATGGACAGAATTTTATCTTGTTCTCGACCAAACTGTTTATAATTACTCCTCTTCTTCCAAAGATTGTTTGGAAGAAATCACTTAGTCATAAGGCTGTTTATTGTTTTCTCTATGTGACTTTTTTTTGTATTTTTACTAAGTTGACTATTGTAATCTTTTGAAGGGAACAATAGAGTCACTCTATTTATCTGATATATAAAAATTCCCGTGTCACGATGATTGTTTACGTTTTGAAACCGATCAAAAGATTAAAAAAAATTTGTAAATATGTATACATAGCTCTAATTTGAATAATAGGAAAGTTTTTATCCCTATAAGATAAAATGGATCTAGTAAGTGGCATAACAACAGTAACCGGGTCAGCTAGATGTCAACTAGTTTGACCTATTTAATATTATTTTCCAGGGGAGGCCTAGCCCCTTAAAAAGCGAATATGTACACTTAGACATGTTTTTATGAAGCTTTGCTTGCATTCTGGGTATGCTTATGGTTTTTACCTGTCACATGACCTGAAAAAAATAAAAAAATCAGCTCCCCCCCATTTCTTTGCAGCCACCTCCCTCCCCATCAGAGGTTGCGGACGCTTTGAAACAGGCACTGAAGCACTGCCTTCTAGGAGGCGGACCTCGTCAACACCTCTACCAGTTCCGAGCGGGGCTGCTACACCATCGCCTCGCATCGCTACACCACGCACAATACAGGTTCGCCCTTTCTCTCTCTCTTTTTATTTTATTTATTTTCTAATTGTATTGTAAGAAGAATAGATTATTTAAGATGTTATATTAATTGTAAGGTGAATTAGTATATATTTTATGTATTAATACATAAATAATACATAGTTAAATAATTTTCTGTGCTTGCATGACCGTGTTTTGATTTGACGAGGTATTGCAGTCACATTAGAGGGTCTGGAGGAGTGGTTCCATTCTTCTCAGGAACGGCAATACAGAGTGGTACCATGGGTTATCACAGAATATTTTGTGATACCCATGGTGCTGGTTATATCTATGTGGGACAGTCACTATCTATCTTGTTTGTTATTTTAAGTAAGTTTGTACACTAAAAATTTATATAAAAAATTCTCGTCACTCAGGATAACCACAGAAGACGGTCCCAAACGACGCACGCTACTGAACGCGACGCGCAACAACTACGAGCTCGCGGCGAACTTGTTTGCGATCTTGGAGGACGCATGCATGTTCCTCACCGTGCAGATGGAACATGTTGCCGCACTCGAGACGCAAGCCGCTTGTAAGTTTCCTTTATTATTTTTATAATATCTTTTATTTATCTAACAATATGTTTCTATAGTGAATAGTGTGGGTAGTGTTAGTTTTTTTTTTAAGAAAGAACAATTTTTTAATTATAACCAATTATTAATTGGAATTTAATGATCTAGAAGAATTAAAGACATTTATTATGTCTATTAATTTTTTTTTATTTATCACCATTTATTTTCAATCCTATATATATATATATATATATATATATATATATATATATATATATATATATATATATATATATATATATATATATATATATATATATATATATATATATATATATATATATATATATATATATATATATATATATATATATATATATATATATATATATCCTGGGGCCTTCGTACACGATTCGGTAAGCTTTGAGCAAAATTTATTTGCATTACGTTCAGCAATTTAGTTATATAATATACTCGCTCTGGCTTGGTACATTTTTTTTAAATACAATTCGCGCATATATATGTATATATAATATGTATTGATAATGTAGTTTTTAAAGGTGAAAAATTGTTGAAGATTTTAACATTATCAAGTACAAAAAAAAAATCTTTCCTCATTGTGATATTCGTTTAAATAGTCTTTCTTCAGACGTAAGCTTGACCAGACGACAAAGGAGGCAAATGTGAATGTGAATGTGAAAGGGACTCCATTTTCCGCACTTAGCCTCTCATTTGGGCCATTGTGCGTATGACAAAGGAGGCAAACATAAAAAGAAACTTTTTATTGTTCCAGAAAATTAAAGTAATAAATTTAGTAAAAGGACAAAAAATTAAAAGAAAAGGGCACACTGCGAACACAGTGGGTAGCCTTATTGTCAATAACGACCTTTTCCGCACCATGTTTGAATGGAGAGGAGTAATTGTAATAACATATTATATAATTATTTATTCTCTATAATTTTGTATAAATTATTATCTGTATTAACACTACCGATTCGTGAGCGAAAGCGCGTTTGTTAGCATTAGTTCGCGCTAACTTACTTTGATATTGTATTATGTCAATGTGTATGATAGAGATAAATATCAGGATCTTTTTCTATTATAGTATCACCAAACGTAAAACTGAAGTCCCTTCAGACTGCAATCCAACTACTACGTCAATGCCACTCCATCATGAAGTTGATCAAAGTCCGTGGCCCAGATCAGAAGGAGGCACCGAAACCCGAAGATGCAGATGATACAAGCATTAAAAGTGAACTTGGCCTGCTGTCACTCTACGAAGGAAGGTTACATTTTATATTGAAAAGTATTATACAATATTGTAGGTCGAAGTCAAATAAAGATTATGAGAAAATGTCGGACATGTATAAAAAATTATATTGTGCTAGTCTTAAAATAAAGAAAGATAATGATGTCCAACGGTACGCAGCTAGTATCTGTGATGTGTTGACTGCTATGGATGTTATAAGTAAGGAATTCGAATAAGTATAGTTTAGTGACTGATCATGCTCTTGCCATTGGTCTATAAGTTTCAATGTTGTACTGACAATACCGCTCAATTCATACTGCAATACATCGCATGATTTTTTCAAGATTGTTCATTCGACGCCTTACTTAGTAAATAGTAGGGCATACCATCCTTTTTAAATATGATAAATTTTGTAACAGTCAAGACTACATTAAAAAAAGTATAGTAGTAATTTATGGGTGTGATACTAAACAATGTTTTTTTTTTTTACTTTTTTTGTTTGTGGGTTAGAATTTCACGAAAAAAAATGACTGGACTAATGTGATTTTCACAGAATATTGTTAACTAAATATGGGTCAACAGATCGACGACGTTAGAAAGGCAAAATGTATTAAGCCCACTAGCTGATATTATACAATTGTATGTAAATGTGGCTTCGTTCTCATAAATCAATATCTAAAATTATATATTGATTCACGCATTAGGACATTACAACTTTTTTTGTATCTTTAAAACCAAAAAGCACATAAAATCTTTTGCTGTTTCAATTAAAATTTATTATTTGAAACAGAAAAAAAATTTTGTCTCATTATATCTCATACAGACGTGAAAGTTTGCTCATCTGTAAACTTTACTTATGCACTTCGTTTTATGCATTTTGTGTTGTCAGCGTCAATATAAGCTATAAAGAAAAAGTTTAAAAAGTTGCTTTCCAAGGAGGCTAATTTTATTATATTACCCCATAAAGGTGTTTAAAAATGCTGTACAACGCAAATGAAGTTGCGGGCACAGCTATTTTGTTTTAAGAAACTTTCATACATTTGTAATACTGTGTACATATATACAAGTAAAATCTTCGTGACTTATTGACTGTTAATCAATAATGGTTTGTATATACTATTAAGTAAACCTTTTTGTTCTGTGATTTAGATGTATCAAACAGATGTGGTGTCTATCTATGCCTTTATGATGATTGTGATTTAAAACGCAGTGAAAATTTGAGCTTTCGGTCCTAAGAATGTTTATATAAGTTTCTTTTATCGTTGAATAAGTAGGTATATGCTTATTGACTCTTAAATAATGACGTGACAATCGAGTAATGATGTCTAGATGAGGATGAATTATTAACCTTGTAAGGCCCAAGCTATTATATGTCAAAATAAATTGAACGCCAAATATACAACATATTTCTTCTCACGCATTGTTAGCCCACCAAATTTAGACTTTTTTTTTGGTAAACTCCTCAGCGTTCAGGAGGCGTTTTAAGTTTGGGTCAGAATGTCGAGTGTTACTTAGTGTAATATAATGTAGGAACATTGGGCCTTATAATTTCAGGCCAAAGTAAAATGCTTCAATAAGTTGTCGCAAATTAGTACTTACTATGTATCTATACATACTCTTTACTGATCCCTCCAAAAGGTTATAGTAGTAAATTTTACAAAATGACAAAAGAAAAATGTTAGAAAAATGTTAATGAAATAATTATTTTGATTTCTATGAAACATGAAACGGTAAATAAGCTGATATCCAACCTGGGAAATGACAGCCCTGTGAATATTACAGAATATGTGTGATGACTAAGATATTAATTTTAGTATCCTACAATTTAACTACCATATCTTCAACTTTTAAACCGAAACCAGCCATGCTAAAACAGCTGCTTACAAATGTAGCTTTTATTTGCTCAATACAGTTTTTAGTCCTTTTTGATCCTATTTGATATAATAGCTAGTTTATTAGTACTAAATGGAGGAGATCTGCCACTCAATAGTGCCTAATTTGTAAAGATCTACAAATGTAAGACTGAAGTGATACTAATGTAAGATATTTGAAAATATATCTTTATTAGAAATTTTTTGTTTTTTTTTTATCCATCTAATTATTTTGTTACTTTTGTAAACAAATTTATCAGGAATGAATAGCAGCAGTGATGGTGGCTAGATATGCTGCTTATAGGTAATAACTTTAGTACCATGAAAACTATGGACACCATAGAATATACTGTTTCTATAAAATAACAGTGTTATTATGATTCATAAAAGAATTTCAATCTTTGCAAAATTAGAATGGTATCAACATGGGAAACTATATACCATATATGTTGCAATATAGCCAGAACAGTTAAAATTAGCGGATATTGAGTAACATACAAATTCTGTATGCTTAGATTATGACTGAAACATCTTTGCCGCAGCTTTCCCAAAAAACTACCAGCATGGGTTTCTTAAAATTTTGAAAATTAGTAATCGGCATTTGGAACCCTTAATATTTCAAGCATCCATACGCTACGGTAACAACTATCCCTCTGGCAGACCGTATGCCTGATCGTTACTGTTTTTGTTAAAAAAAGAATAAAAGCATTTCAAATTAAAACAATCTTTATTTTATAACAAATTATATGTAGTTCTGAAAACCTCCGTTCACGATATTTCATCTATCTATACATTTTAAAATGTAATTATGTAAAATACATCATGTACTATCGACAACTTTCGCGCATGATTATTTAACAAAATTTTTCTTTGAACGTGTTCATCGTGGATAGACTCGCTTCTTTATTTTCCTAACCAATGAGGCAAGACCTTGTTAAATCCTGGACTATGTATGGACTAAAGATAGACCTCCAAAATATCTAGTTTTTTTTTATAATTTAGGAGTAAACATTTATTTTTGAGCTTATCATCACTCTTGGGATAAGATGAAAAATTATTCTTTTTGTATTCTTTCTTATAATATATATAATAGATTTTTGACCTAAATTGTAAATTCTGACTGATAAATTACTATAATGAAATAACAAAGTATTGAGGTCGATTCTGAGATGCCATTTCTTTAATCCTATCTTTTTTTTATACAACTTAGAATGGCAAACAAGCTGACGGCCCACCTGATGGAAAATGGTAACCGTCGCCTATAGACATGAGCAATACAATGGACATAACAGAGTATACTGTTTCGCCCATGATAACCCCCATGTGTTGCCATTCCTGAGGACTCAGCTCTCTAAAATCAATATTTCAATTTGACATAACAGCGAAATCTTTATTGTAAAGAACGATGTAAACTAATTTTCTAATTGATTTAAGTAAAAAATATTATGATTTTAGTTTATGATGGTCCATAAAACAGTTATTTCGCGAATCTATAAATTAAAATATTAGGCTAACAGATAAGTTTAGAGAAATAACACTTCAAAATTAACCCCATTGAAAGGTAGATAAAATATCGTTCACAGATATTATAAATTCATATTATTTACAAACTCATTTTAATAAATTCATCTATATCACAATAATTATATAGCACCTGTAGTCTATATATAATATCGATCTGTATCTTTCATAAATCTAAAATAAATAATAATAGTGTTACAGTGTTTGTTTATGAGGAGTTGAAAGCTTTGAAAGGAGGTTTATTTAGTTATTTTTGAAACGCTCATACTGTATGGGATGGAATAGGATGTAGGCTACTTTTTATCTTGGTCAGCATATATACCGCTCACGCGTGTAAAAGTTGGTAATTAATATTTTTTTCTATATTACGCAATATCTTCAACTTTTTAATTACTATCTTTACAAGGTTTAGAAATATATTGTAAAATCAATACTTCCCTTTTATCTATATTACCTATATCCACCTATACTAATAAAAATTCTGAAATTAGTGTAGATACTTAAATTTGTACAATAATTTCAGAATTAATTATTATTAACTTAAGAAGATATCGCGGGACATAGAAAAATGCAGACGAATTGAGAACAACCTTGTTCATAAAATTGGTAAATAAATGTGTAAATTGTTCTTTTATCGGAAACTGGAGAATTTCTATTTATATCTAGCATAAAGTATATTTTAAAATATTTTGTACATTATTACGATAGGTGACTGGGAATGTTGTCTTACTTAGCTAAAATAATTACAAATGTTATACAACTATCAAATAATAACGTATCGTACAATCGTAAATATACCAACCTACCACAGAATATAATATATTTGCCTTGTACTTAAGCTATGATACCCTGTCTTATGAGAAATCATAGATAATCCTAACTTAATAAATGTCTGGGGCCAAAAATTAGAACACCCAGACTCGAGTCATTTTAGAAATATTTATTTACTAAATTGGGTCACTTAAGATGCGAACCCGGATTCTCCATTACAATAAGCAATATGCCTATGCTGTAATTTAAAGCATTTATATGTACAATCGTAAAATGGCATCCATATTGTAATTTCGTGATACTTTTATACCTGTTTGTACCTAAGAGCTGCTCTTTTGAGTAATGCCTTTTATTAAAATTGTTTTTTTTTCTTTGTACACAAAAGAATGTAGCGTCAATCATGATTACCAAATATATACAAAAAATCATAGATAAAAATAGATCCCATCTAATAACAATATTTTCGTTCATAATTCTTCTTTTTGGTCAGTGTAAAAATCACATTATAAATTCGGTTTATCTACTGATAAAATGTTCGTGGTAAAATAGATACGTACACAAATTACTATTTTACGATCCACAACAGTTTTGTTCCCTTTAAGCTTTGTCTTCTTTTCTAGCTCTGTAAAGAATGAAAAGATGTTTATGATATTATATAGGTACTTAGATAATTTTTTAAAGTGACTTATCGAATATGTTCGGAAATACTGTCGATAAAAATATAGGTATCACAAGTACCTATCATCATCATTATCACTGCCATATCATCACTGCTGAACATAGGCCTGTATGCATAGTTGGTAGGCGGGTTGGCAATCGCAATAGCCTTTAGTGATGTTTTAAGAGGGATGCTGCTGTCTATTCCTTGACCATTTAGTTCCACGGGATAGGAAGGGGTGGTCCATTCTATACCGGGACCTCACGACAACAATATCTATAGTAGTGCTAATTTACGTCGTTGATAGACGAGTTTATATGATAATATAAAGAAGTCTGATAGGTCAGCTTTGTTGTTAATAATTTATTGATATACTAATCCCTTGATTTGTAAACTAGATTACGGTGCAAGATTATCTTATAGTCCATTAGCGACCCGCCTCGGCTTCGCACGGGTGCATATTACATCACATTAGAAACCTTTAAAATTATCAGTGTTTCTCTACAATATTATACATGTATTATACATATAAACCTTCCTCTTGAATCACTATGTATTAAAAACCGCTTCGAAATCCGTTGCGTAGTTTTAAAGATTAAAGCATGCATAGGGATGGACAGATAGCGACAGCGACTTTGTTTTATATTATGTAGTATGATGATGATGTAACATTATAGTGTTTTGAAAAATCTGAATAAGTATTGAGTCAATCTCAAAATATGCCTGTAAAATTTCAAACACAGACTCTTTCCAATGAGTATTAGCTAGATATTATTTAAAAAATGTTAAAAGAAAAGGTATCATTAGTAAATACCTAAATTAAGATGTCTGAAATGTTGAGTCAAGTTGCACATTATGACACGTCGGGCTTCAATGGTTAGACAGTTGTGAATGAAATTTTGGTACATGAATAGATTGTATCATCTGACACACATGTAAATTCATTTAGGTAGACAAAAACGCAAGATAGAGCTAATTACAGAATCGAATTAATCATGTTGGGTATTAAGGCATCTCGTATCGTGTCACTTAAAAAACACTGTTATAAAATCATTCTACATCTAATAACTTGAAACACATTATAAAATATACTGGAATATGACGAAGTAACATAAAAAAGGCAATAATATTTTCATTAATGGTTTGTTAGATAAAAATCTTATGTAATTTTACTTAAAGAAATTTTCTCGAAAAACAATTTCGTCAGAGCACGAGCCCCTAGTCGATGGGGGTCCCTAGGCAATTCCCTACACTGTTTAATGTATAATCCGGCCCTGTTTATAATAATTGTGATTTAAACGTTGATCACCCACCTGCCAGATAATATTGCTTCAATCTCCTGCAAACTCTTGCCTTTCGTCTCTGGGACCACGAACATCGCGAAGAAGAAGGAGACTATACAACAAACGCCGAACAACCAAAAGGCGACGTACATGCCTAGAGCATCTGCTATACTATTAAAGTACCTGTAAAGACATTTTTATTTATTTAATAATATATAAGGACAATTAGAAATTTCAAGTGAAATACAGTAGCATAAAGTACAGATTAAAATATAAATATGGAAAATATTTATCTGGGATTTAGGTATATTTAATTTTAATATTTAGAAAATATTTTAATTTTTCAATTTTTCATTCTATGGATGAAAAGGAGTGGTGACACATATATTAATTAGACTACTTCATTGAGAACGTTAATCTTTACTAGTGAGGCAATATAAATGCAAATGCGAGGGTTTCTTTGTTAAATATGAAGAATTTGTTATAAGATTAGCATATGCATTAGTATTTGGAATGGAGAAAGACATACGCTGCTTTTTATTCTGATTAATCAATATATCCCGGCTGAATATGCAGCTAAAAAGTAGTGCTACTTCCTAGTAGGTATAAACGCAAAATGTTGTTAACTATTGAACGGATTTGAATTAAATTTGTTACACGGGTAGGTTATATCCTAATTTAACATAGGATATTTTATATACTGATATACATGAGCAAAGCTGCGAGAGACAGGTAGTATAATAAAAAATTAACAGATGTATTGAGTTGCCAATATTAAGTAACAACATTAGATAATATCTAGATTAGATAGTAACTCAAAATGGATCCTCACCTAGTAACAAGGAAGGACAACATCCAGCAGAAAGCAGTGGCTATTGGAGCCGCAATAGCCTTTACTTCCATGGGCATAAGCTCGGCCATAACCGCCCAGGGCAATGGCCCTAAACCCCAGCAGTAGGTTATGATAAACAGAACGAGCGATAATACTGGTAAGAAACTGATAGTTTCGGCAATAGGATTCTCTTTTTCCGCCAAGATGAAGTACATACCGAGGAGTGCCTGTAAATTGCATAAACAAAAGTTTTTAATAAGGAAAAAATGGCAATTCAATTGATTTTTATTACGTCATAAATATTGGGACACAATATGATGAACTTATGAACATTATAATAGAAGATAAGATAGAAAAAAAGAGAAGAAAGGGGAGACCATGGCACAGTTACATTAGACAGATTAAAGAAAAAATTGATGTTATGTCGTATCAAAAAGTGAAGAGACTCGTTGAAAATTATAGTTATGGCAAAAGCTCCATTGTAAGAGCGCAGTTCTTAAATATGAATAAACGAATGTTACGCTAAATGTGAACAGATTTAATTTTTTGAAATCGTTTTGCTATCTATCAGTTGCTGTGCCTCTATGTGCTAGACGTAATTCGGCAAATTTATATTGTACGTTTTTTCAATTTTAGAATAAGTAATTTTAAAATTGTAATCTTTGTTCTACATACTCTCTATGACTTTTTTGGTAGCGTTTTTCGTTAGCGTTAATTGCTTTGTAGTTTTAGCGAACAGATCTATGGTAGGTACAAATTCGAACTAAGCGATAGAGGTACTTGATCAGCTTATCGAAATGTGGAGTGGGTTGTTTACATTAGTTTTCTCCCTCCCATACTGAGAAGATGCTGTCGAATTATTATGGGATATTCAAAATATTTGTTGTTTTTTAATTTCTGATTCGTGAAATTTCTATTTATAATATGGATAGATTCTTAATTCAATATATCACTAATGAGTTCGATTTATTTTATGAAAAATTACGAAAAACAGAACGTTTGAATGAATACTCACCAGACCGATGGCAGTACCGCATGAGGAGATCAGCAGCAAGATCCGACGTCCAAGCCTGTCTACTACGAATGGTGTAACGCATGAAGCACCCACCTGTAAAATGAAATTAATATTGTTAAATAAAAAAAATATCGAGTCTTAATTAAAGCTATTAATAATTATTAGCAAGGAACACTAATGATATAATAAGTTATTTATATGATTTGGTTGCATACTCAAATATTTAGATTTTTGTATGCCTAATCACAGATAATATGATGTTATATTAACATACCTGATGATTTCATTTTAAATTTAAAAAGATCGTCTACAAATTTTAAAGAGAGTATAATGTATCTGCCCCTCTGTATACGTTTTGGTTGGTGTTTGTGGATTTTAAAACATTTTACCTGCACAGCACCAATAATGATAGTGGCAATAGCTGGATCCAGGTCAGATCCTGCTGCGTTGAAGATGTTGGTCATGTAGAAGAGTACAACGTTGATACCACTGAATTGCTGGAAGAACACCAGCGCGCAGGAAATGTAGAACGCCTTGAAGTTACCGCCTCGGAAAACATCTTTTATCTGGAAGTATGTAATTATGCAATTAATTTTACAACGATCTCTTTAATTTTCATTCTATCCGTGTATACGAATAAGTATTTTTTTCTCGTAACAAATATACTTGGACCTCTAGATTATACGCAATTAGCTTTTGCCCACGATTTTGTACGCATGGATTTTGGAAGCTTTACCAATTTAGGGATTGAATTTTCAATTTTTCTTTCTTACTGTTCACCTACGCTATATAAAGAACCTATGTGTAAAATTTCAAAATTCTAGATTGAGCGTTTTCTACTGTGCATTGATATATAGATACCAATTTTAATTTCTTTCTTTACTTCTATATTCCCTTGTAGTTGTTCGGAGGACATAAGTATAACAACTAATTTTGTCTATTTACATATATTATATACAGAAGGTAAATATTATATACAAAGGAATATGTAGAAAATAATATATAAACACGGAAATTAGGCGTGTAAGAGATGAGTTATCGAGTTGGAGAGAATGACAGCAGAAATAAATGTAAGAAGTAAACGTCGCTGTCATGTCTGTACGATCAGTCCGAAAGAAAGAAAGAGCTGAAATATATAGATATTTCATCTACACATAGGTACATAGGTACAATTTAATTAACCTACTTGATGGAAAAGAAAGTAATAATGTTGATAAGTGGCTATGAGATGAATATGTACAATTATTATTTACAGACGCCACACCCTTTTCCCCCATAGGTACTTTTTTATTGTTATGATTTTATTTATAAGTTGCAAGTATATTATTGCTTGCAGCGTCTCCTTAAAAAGTCACCAAAGTCTAATTGCGGTTGCCAATCGTCCTGCCTAGCGCTGCAATTGATATTTCCCCCCCAAGGAAGAGGCCTATTTTAGTGGCTTATATTATGATGATGATATCATTGCTCAGTAACGGAATACTGTCCATAATAAATTAGATATTTTAGGTCAAACTGTACACTATTTACCGTAGCAGTTTTATCCATAGCTGCTTTCACATCTGCTGCCATTTTATCAAGTTCAGCTTGAACACCAGCTTCTGATTTTCCACGAATAGTGGCTAAACTTTGGGAAGCTGATTGGCGGTCATCTGGGAATGAAATTTTTAAAAGTTAGTAGTTATTAATTATAAGCCTTTAAGATTTTTTATTCGACTGCCGAAAAAAGGATGGTAATGTTCTTAGGGTGCATGTGAGTTTATTTCAAAATCTCAGTTTTGTTGTTATATAAACATCATCATTATATGACCCGTTAACCGATCGTCGAGGAAAGGCCTATGTTCAGGCCTCCCCATAAGAAGATATTTTTCTAGTAGTTGCCACGCTTGGCAACTGTTCAACTTGACAACAGGCTTTAATAATGTTTTAAAAAGAACCCTGCTGCCCATATCTCGAACATTAAATTCCCTTAGTCACCTCTTATAAAACCCACGAGAAAGGAAAAGGTGGTCCATTCTATGCCGAGACTAAGACGATTTTTGTCTTAATTAATTTGGGAAAATAATATTACACCTAGCACTTACTAAAGGTAATTTTAATAAAATTATTTTTACTCACTTTTGCTCAAATGATAAACAGGCGATTCTGGCATGAAGAAGAAGATGATATCGAAGATGGCCACGATTGCAACACCAATGTAAGCGATTGCTGAATAGGAAATAAATGGCCCAATACTGTATACCAGAAGGAAACCAATGGTAATGAACGCTTGGAGAAAGGAACCGAGCGCGCCGCGCACTTCATCCTGGAACACGGAGACATTTTTTTATCGGTCAAGTGATAGATGTAAAAATTATCGTAATTATAAGAATAGTAATATTATTGTGGAATACGGAAACATTTATTTATTAATCGAGTGATGTGGCAAGTGTCATAATTACTTAAAATATTAATAAATTGAATGTTTGTGGAAAAGCCAATCCAATGTGGCAGAGTCATTTCTGCCACATTGGATGATGGCATGTTTGTTATATTCACAAAGACAACAAGTGGAATGCTAACTACTGCATTAAAGATTAACTAAATTTCTGCCAAAGATAGAAATATTCTTTATTGCAAGTATAGTGATAAAAACATTTAATTTTAAACGTAATGTATAAAGTCGAGCTTATCTTTAATGAGAGATTTCTTCCAGCAAGCCTTTTCATATGAATTAAATTGTTATTACAACGAAAAATAAATAAATATTATCTGTACGGAGAAATATATTTTAACTGAATTAATTTTTTTGGTGGAATGAGAACTAAATTTCTGCCAAGAAGCTGTGCTCATCTGCATGACTTGTTCGTTTGATGAGATAGGGTCCTAAAGGTACCTACTTGGTACGGGAGTATAATACTTTGCCATTCTAGAAGATTAAGGTACTCCTTAATTTTCTAGAATGGTAAATTATTTGGTACGGGCATAACACCTTAGTTATGAAGAATGCTAAAGGCTTGAGGACGAGATCTGGATAGTGCATTCTGTGGTGTTCATAATACAGATGTCTGCAGATGACGGTAATAATTTTCCATTAAATGAACTGTGAGATTGTTTCTTACTACAAATTGTAAGGTAAGTAACTATGTTTTTTTAAAAAAAAAAACCAAACCCGTGCCAGTCCAGAAAATTCACATCCTAAATTGGTCCGGCCCGGAAATCGAATCGAAAGGTCATCAATATGCCAGATCATAATGCCAGAGAAATTGTATATAAAGTCTCACCGTAGCAATTTCAGCGCAGTACATAGGCGATATAGTGAACAGCATGCCAACAGCTATACCCCAAAATATCCTGCCTGCGTAGATTAAGCCTACATTAGTGGCTATAGCGACCAAGAGCCATCCTATGAACAGTGGAACTGAAGAGACAATCAAACCCCACTTGCGGCCTATTTTGGAAGCTGCTAACCCACCGATGAATGGACCTGGTAAAAAATATTAGTTCATATAGGTATTTATTATTATTATTTTAATCGTTAACTGTCCACTGCTGGACATAAACCTGCTCCATAAGGGAAGTTTTGCCAGTGATTTTTAGATGTTTTAAGAGGGTCGTTGCTGCCTATCCCTCGCTCTCCATTACTCGCCTGTTACGACACCCATGGCAAAGGAAGGAGTAGCCCATTCTATGCCGGGACACACACGGTGACCATATAGTTATAGATATGTAGCAATAATAACAGGTATATTTTGCTCTGCAAAAAGAGACATCAGTCGTTAGCACATATGCACCAATTAGCAACGAAACATTTCATAAACACATTACATATAATTTAGAATGGGAAAATGCGTGATTGTATGTAAGTATTGATTTTTCTTCGCAACAAGGAGTTTTTTGCTCCATCGAGAAATTGGCTGATTCAATGGTCATAAAATTTATATGGGATCAACTCAGGACTAAACTGTATTGATTGATTTTGGAAGTCGTTTAAAAATATTGGTATTTTCGAATTATGCCCTGAAAAACAAGGCTGAATCATAAAGTGTGCATTTTTGGTACTGAAGAAACCTTTTTGCAGCCTTTGTCGTTTTTATATATTCGATAGGGATCGCGTGAGAGATGCCGTGTGTGTAGTAAAGGCTTCTGTAAATTCGGTGTCCACTCTGTAGTGCTGATCTTGCTTGTAGAACGGACTTGTTTTCATCAGGTACGATGTTGCTATGTTTGCTATTCCAAATTATATTAGAAAGTCACAGTACAAGACTCATACATACCGATGATAGCACCAATGTTGAGTAGTGACCCGATCCAGGCTTCCTCATTGCTGGTGATCGGTCTGTCAAGAGGAGAGTCTGTTACATTCTGCAACTTGAGGTTCACAGGGGACGTCCATCCCATTGAGAATCCCGTGGCCGTGATCGCGATGTTCGCTGTTGAATACAACCGGAGATATTATATTTTTGATCACAGAAAATGTATTCAATAGGTTTTGTTTTTATCACTGTTTTACACTTAGTTTTGTAACTCGAAGTTGTCTTCGAGCCGCAACAAATCTCGAGTGAGAGGTTTCGTAGTCGATTTCGTAGATATATTGTTGGTTATTTTTTTTATTTTTTCGTGTCAAATCAACCGTTATGTGTCCACTTATGAACATAGGCCTTTACCATAGATTGCCATAAGAAACGGTCCTAAGCAAATAAATTTTTCGAGCAAATAAATGAATATATATATATAATATTTTTTATTTTATCGCCATAAAAAAAAGCTTCTTCCCACTGTAGAGAAGCATGCAAGCAAGCAAGCTAGACATCTTAGAATTAAAATAATATAATATTGCAGAAAAATGAGGATATAAAGGAGTTGATGAAAGTCGAAATCATGGAACATGTTTATATATTTTATATATATTCGGCATTCGGTATTGATTTTTACTAGACTGACCTCAGTCCGGATTCATTAGCAGAATACGAATCCTTATAACTTCGATTGCACCTGTTTATTACAAGACAGTATGATGAGCAGACCATTAATGTATCACTGTATTATGTCCGCTCTATATACAATTTGTTAAAGTAAAATAAATAAATATATAAATGAATATTTATTTGCAGTCATAAAAACAATTAAGTCAGTTATGTACATATTATTTTGAATAAAACCGTTTAGGTGTAAGTTGAACTCACACGCCAATGGTTCCGCACAGAAATATGTAAATGTGAAATAAAATGTTCTTTATTGCATTTTTATGTAAAATAGACAGATAATAAGTATTGTTATTGATACTATAATCCCTATTTTCTTATTTTGTGTCATAATTGTAGTTTAAAACTGGACAATATAACTAAGTGTTTGTTTTAAGGTTTTTTGATAATTTGTCGAAAACAACGATAGTTAATAAATTTGTATTATTTTTTTCTGTAATATTAATATATACTTTTATGTAATTATTTCACATTTATTGTTTCACAACGGATGAACTTTTCTCAGATTTTTGATCATTACGTAAAGAACTAAGCAGCATTTGAATAAAAAAATAGGTCTACTTTGAAATGTTTAGTACCCTTTTTGAACTACTTTCTTACGCAACCCTAAAAATAGGGACCTTAGTAACATTCAATTTGTCAACGTAAAACGTTCCACGTCGATATTTACTAACTTGTGTCAATGTTATGACCATAAAGATAGTTTATCTGGTAGTAAGTAACGTATTATAAACACGGTGACAGGAGACAGACAGCATGTACCGCATTATTTATATAACATAAAATTAGATAATAAAAATGCTATCTAAAATAATATTAGTTAGGTAAAGATATTATCTGTGGTACAGGTAAAATTGTATAGTCAAATATAATTTTACATATAGGTACTTATAGATAACTATTTTTAAAAATAAACACCGGAGTGTATGTAATAATATGCACTCTATTAATTATCACGAAAATCTTCAATATGGTCAATATTGAAGATTTTCGATTTCTTCTAATAAAAGGACTTATTACCTATTTAAGCTTGTATACGAACAGGACACAGTAACGTCTAATCAACAATTGCAAATAATCGTAAAGACCAAGTTCTATTGTAAAATAGTTTTCTGTTAATTTCGTATTATTTGTTTAGAATTTGATTAGGATCTTTAGATCCTAAATTAAAAAAAAAAAAAGATCTAGGATTTAACCTTAGCATAGCAACTCCTATGTGTTGAGGATTATGATTTTCTAATGCCAATATAAAACTATAAATTAGAATAGCATTAGTAATAATTAGCATTTCTATGTCATTCATTTCATTTATATAGTATTCTGTGTCTACTATTGTAATGTACAATGTCTTTTGATATATATTGGACATATATTAAAAATGCTTTTAAATAGCATCAACACAATTATAGAAGATGGTTTTAAATTGATACACATTTTGGAATTGACCAGTATTGAAGCTGACTGCTCCTGCTATGTAGTGACTACTGTAATTTATAATACATCTTGGACATTACGTCCTAATGAGTAAATATTATTCGTAGATATGATTACTTAATTATAATTATGTAAGTGATAATAAACTCATAAAAAATATAGATAATGACCCAAATGTATCCACGTTCATTTCGCTGCGATTACATTACTGCGTGGCAATTCGATGATAAATTTATATGTTGAGTATGATTGGTAAATCTGAATATTGCTCACACTGTAATAATGATCTATTTAATTTGTTTTCTAATGGCTAGTTTGTGCATACCTAATTGTAAAAACGTTTAAACATTGTTGTAAATAGTGTAAACCTATAAATACTTTGAGTGCATATAAAATATATGTAGTATGTTGGTGATAATTTTAAACATAGATTAAGTACACAAATAGAATTTCTATAATAAACTTAACATGGAATCTCTCTGTTAGGTAAGTATAAAGATCCATGGGGATGGCTCGATACTTTTATCTCTTATCCTTCTCCTACTTCGTTTTGAATATCTTAGTTTTGACCACAGATGTCCTGAAAAGGGGCTCAACCTAAATTCCCAATACTGCTCTTGATTTTATAACTATTAAGAAGCATGTTATCTTTAAAGAAACTGGAATTGTTATATTAATTGTAAATAACTGTACTTACTTCCATTTGTATGTCCAAGGTTCATAAAATTACCTCGTTTTATGATAGTTAAAATTTCTGCCATTCCGTACTGATTCGTGTAATTAAGTACTTTCGTACCAATTTTTCTTACACGGAGTAGATTTGTAAATATTTTTTAAATTATTTAAAATGTGATATACGAGTAAGTGAACACCATCAGCAGCAATGCAAATAAAATTAAGGCAGTATGTTATCCTAGTTACCCAACCCGGTGCCGCCGACGAAGTCGCGGGTAAAAGTTATGTCAAAATAATTACAGTAATATAAACAGTATATATGTTTAATTCGTAACTTACTGCAAAGGATTGTTAGTAATGCGAACTACCAGAGAGTTAAAAAATAAAACTAATCTTATTAATATTATAAAATTGTGATTAACAATGTCTGTTATGGGAGATATTTAAAAAATAAATATGAAGGGCCTTAATATTTATAATTTAGAAATTTTGTCTCTATGTCTGTATATTTGTTCCGACATCATGTAAAAACTATTGTACCAAATTGGATGCGGTTTTCACAGTTGTGTTCCTGAAGATCTAAGTTAAAATGTAGTGTAGTAATATTTTATCATGTTATGTCATCTTAAAGTGGATTATTTCATTGGTTTTCCTATTTCTGAAATGCAGGCGTAGGAAGTAGGAGGCCAAAAGCTAGTTTCAAAATAAACATATTTCTTAAAATATGACGGATGTGTGTTTTATTTGAGCTCCGAATCCAGTCCGCTTATTTTTCTTAGAGAAATGTAAATGCATAAAGACAATGGTCATTGAAAATGTTAAGGCGTATTCACATATAATCTAGCATTTTTATACGAAAATGTCTTACACGAAGTCCCCTATAGAACAGTACGTTTGTAAACATTTTTTACTTGACTTAAAATATGATATTATTCAATAACATCGGCAACAGTGCGAATAAAATTAAGGAAGTGACGATAACAAGACCCTTGTGAACAAGTAGATAATAGGTCTATTGTGATCTTGCCAGTAGTATTATCTGTGGAGACATATTCGTTCGAGTTTAAAATGGATACATTTCAACATCATATACCTAATGTATGTGCGGATTTAAAAAGTAGGAAAACCATAGACCATTTATAAATAGTGGATCAAAGTAAAACATACATCAATTTTTAAGTTGGATCTTCAGGAATATAACAGCGAAAACTATATCTAATTTGGAGCAATGATACAGACACAAAATTTCAAAAAAATATTGTTTGACTTATATTGCTCTTATTAATACTCCTCATATAATATAATCTAGTTCTAATTTTATAATATTATTAAAATGATCAATGCACCTTTTCCAAAGCAATGAAGAAAGAGATGTTGTGATGAGAATGTTTGGATAAAAATATAACTGTATTGGAAAAACACAAGACTGGTATCAATAATGAAGCTGCTCTGCAGCACTTACGAGAACAGTAGGTACGTATTATGCGCTATCTCCATTTTCTTTAAATGCACCTATTATCTAAGTAACGTCTGTGTTAAACTTCAGTTAGTAGTTTATAAGAATCTTACTGAAGAGCATAAGATTCGTTCAATTTTGTCACGCATATTGCAACTTCAAAAAAGTTAATTTTCACGAAGAGTCTTGCTGAGTAACCTTAATAACAAATGTCTTAACTCCCGATGATAACGTATGATATTCGCTTAGAAAGAGGTATATATTGCAAAAGCTGTAAAGCCGGAAGTGTTTATATTTGTGTTGTGTTTATATAGCATTGTAAAAACAAACCTCTTGTCCCTGTAGATATAGATATGATTAGCAGTTCAGTTCATAGTTCCTTCGTGAACTATGAATACTACGTATTTATTATTTTTGATAAAAAAATAGATATGGAGCTGCTGTTCGCGGTTGACAAAAACGACTACAAAAATCTAAAGCAGTGTTTTTCAACCTTTTTCATGACATGGTGTCCCCTAGTACGAACAAATATTTCGCGACTGCCGAACCTTTGCTTTTTTTTCATGTATTTTATAATGAAAAAAAGATCAAGATTTCTTTATGATGATAAAAGAAAAAACGTCTCAACTCAAATAATATAAAAAAAAATAATTGTATTACATCAAGAAAAAAAAATCTTGAATCATTGAATATTGAAGTTAATATTGCTCACTTGTATTATTTTTGCGAAGCAATATACACACGTGTAATGCTCATGCAAAACTTTTTTAAATATACTAATTTATCTATAAGTAAATCACTAAATTTTACGCAGTTAGATATTTTTTTCTGTGATGTTAAGCACGATAGTAGAGATAAATTAATTATATAGTACCTATATATA